AGCGAGCCAGATGTTACCTTTCGTCTCGCAACGCGAAATAAAACCAACGCGAGGGATCCCGCGTCACTGTAATCGTGTAATACACGTAACACGCGTGATAAACCTGCACGTTCGTTCTACGCAGCTGAAGATTTTTATCGCGAATATCTCGTGTTCGATATCGACAACAACACCTTAGCGATTGTGCGTTTTTGATATTTCTAGTCGCAGTCGCGAATTATACCGCACCGAGGATCTCGATGCAAAATGACGATATACTGCTCAATTCTTTCAATTTTTGCAGCGCGCTTGATATTGATAATAATTGCATTCATAGATCTGTAAATTCTCCCAAATTGACTCTTGACTGATAAGCTTCGAAACAAAAATGGACAATTTGGAAAGAGGAGGTACAATTATTCCAGCCTTGCGGCTCGTTTTTATAGTTGTTGACAATTGGTCAACTAGCGGCCTTTAACCACTTAATACTATTAAATTTGTTCTATACATCGATTTTCAATCTCCTCGACTCAATTTGACAACTGCACGGTGATCCGCAAACCACAAATTATAATTAGACGATTACACGCTGTGTAGCTCGTTCTGTTGATTCGNCGTCGTCCCTCGTACAAACAACGATCAACGATTCCACGAAAACGCGGTAATTGATACTGGGAAAGGGGTTCCTTCGATAATTAATTCACTGTTACGGATTGTTACCGGTGTTTACGTTCGACTTAATCGATGCCCGGACGACCTTAAATTAGATTGTGGAAACCGGTTCCCTCCGTTTGCTGAAAACTGTTGATCCCAACGGTCTTGTTGTTCTTACTGAAGGTGGCAAACTGTTGATCTCACGGCTCTGAAGAATTTTGCTTCATTCACATCTTCCCTGGTATCTTCCACGAAGTATCGAAAACTCGCTTCGTTTTTTTTCTTTTTTGCTTTCTTGCGCCATAGTATCTACAGTATGTATATTGGCATAAATTCTGTGCCAATGTACGTTGCGTCTGTGCAATTAAAAAGTCATCCAGTGGAAAGGTTAACGAGAGAGCAGCTTGAAAAATGTGGCATACGGTAACGTGATGACTTCGAGACAATAGTTTGTAATTGCTCGTTGTATTCGCAGCGATTTCCTCGGTTAGGATTTCTAACAGATGAGCAGTCAATTGAAATTACAGATCGATTCGCGAGCGCAGTGAAATCACGCGTTGTACGAGGGGGGACGGCGGAGCTCCCAGTGTATCTTAATGAAGAAATAGGAGCAGGAAGCGCGTGAGACCCGTCGCAGCACCTTGTAAAGGGGCAAACGTACCGTGACACATTCGAGCATGTAACCATAAACTCGTTTTCGAACACTCCTGCAATGTTTCTCAATTAAAAAGCGAGCCAGATGTTACCTTTCGTCTCGCAACGCGAAATAAAACCAACGCGAGGGATCCCGCGTCACTGTAATCGTGTAATACACGTAACACGCGTGATAAACCTGCACGTTCGTTCTACGCAGCTGAAGATTTTTATCGCGAATATCTCGTGTTCGATATCGACAACAACACCTTAGCGATTGTGCGTTTTTGATATTTCTAGTCGCAGTCGCGAATTATACCGCACCGAGGATCTCGATGCAAAATGACGATATACTGCTCAATTCTTTCAATTTTTGCAGCGCGCTTGATATTGATAATAATTGCATTCATAGATCTGTAAATTCTCCCAAATTGACTCTTGACTGATAAGCTTCGAAACAAAAATGGACAATTTGGAAAGAGGAGGTACAATTATTCCAGCCTTGCGGCTCGTTTTTATAGTTGTTGACAATTGGTCAACTAGCGGCCTTTAACCACTTAATACTATTAAATTTGTTCTATACATCGATTTTCAATCTCCTCGACTCAATTTGACAACTGCACGGTGATCCGCAAACCACAAATTATAATTAGACGATTACACGCTGTGTAGCTCGTTCTGTTGATTCGAATCTCAGCTTGTTGCTCTTAAAAACGCATTTTCTCGCGGAGCAATTTCCCAAATTGCGTCGAACGTCGTAGAGTGAAGTAATGCGATTTAGCGAAACTGTAGTTTATCAATGCGCGTCTAAGCGTAGATAATTTAGCTTACTGCTCCGATGATCAAACGGAGCCAGGAGAGAGCGTCGTTGCTGACAATAAATATTCCCACAAACGTATGACGTAGAAATTTACATGGAAGTTGTAGCGTCATTGATTCACGCATTGTCTTGAGCTTGCATTCGATTAGAGACCGACGAGTCGGAGAAATTGTTTCTTGCCTCGCGAATTCCCGGAGAAACGACAGAACGGCAACAGTTGCGGGCGGACGGTAGCTTTTACGGGATGTGCGTCGATCGGCAATCCATTTGCATAATTTCCATAATTAGGATGGCCACCAATTAACTAAAATTAACCGTGCGCGCTGTTGTTGCACGTCACCGCCCACTATCTGCCCGAAATTCAGCGGTTCCTTTGATAAATTCGGAGTTAATATAGAACTGCCGCCGGGGTATCATAACTGCGAGATCAGATCGCGATCAATCATAAAATAACATTGAAAATTCTATTGTTCTTTCTCTGCTTTCAACAATCATTGCGGCAGTATATGACTCTCTCAATAGGAGTTTTTCTAATTGAGCAATGTTAAAAAGGAACTGTTGGATTGAGTTACTTAGGCTGGCTGGATGATACACGCTGTTGAAAAATTAAACAGAAATTCTTCAGTTGTAAATTCAGATTGCAAAATTTATTAAATAATTCTCGACGAGGAATGTTAAGATTGTTTTAATTTTAATTTCTTGCAAGATATTCAAAGTTCAAGAAACTAATGAATATATTACCAAAGCTGTGTTAATTTCCTTGGATGTGTCCGATTGCAAAGATAACATTCTGCCAAGTGAAACACGTATAATAATGTATGAACACTTTTTTCGAAGACTGCAATTCGTTCGCAGAGTAAAACCAACAGCATCAGCTGTCCATTAGAGATCGTTTAGGAAAAGAAAACTACGAAAGTAAAAGGAACGAAGAGTGTGGGAGGGGTTAAAAATCACGCACGCTACCTTGCCATCCAGAATGAACATTCGAGAACACGATCCGATGCTATTAATATGCGGAACGACGAACTTATTTTCGCGTTGATAATCCGTATCGCGACGATATGCAAAAAACCGGCCGGAAAACGCGTTCATAGTCATCTCGCGTAGCAAGATGTCGGATCTTGTGACTATCTACTGTACTATAGGCTCGTCGTTTAATCGATAACGATCGTATCAGCGGTTTCCTCCACCAATTCTCGCGAGACTCGTCCAATCACCCGTTTAAATCTAAATCGAATCGATCCGACATCGGATACATATTTCGCCTAAACACGCCTCCGGTTCACTTATACGGTTGTTTTCTTAAACAGAATTAACGAATTCTCTGCTATCATTAATTTTATGAGCTTTGCAGAAACTCTATCGATCGTCGTTACAGTAAAAAATGTGCCGATTATCATTTCCAAGAAAAAGACTGCTTTAGGACACCCACGAGTGTCCATCCTTTTAGCTTCAAGGAAACCACCTGTAAAGGAAAACCGATTTTCTTTCCGTGGAACGTTTGCGTCGAGGCTTTTTCACACTCGGCAATAGCAGATGCAACGCTGCGAGATGCATTAAACACCACCACATTTCCAAAGCCCACATACTTCTCTCGCAATATCCTCTCGGGAAACCCGAGTTGAAAATTGATCGAGTTGTTCGGATTTGAAGCGTAAACTGCTTGGAACCGTTCAATTATGAGGATCCAAGTCGCTCGGTGACGCAGTCTTAGAATCATTATTAACCCCTTGGCATACGAATTAAATCATATTCGACCTAGCCTAATTCATATTTTAATTTATTATTTATCTAAGCTTAAGAAAGAATTTTCGTGGAAATCCCAAATAAACACGTTACTGGTAATACAATGATGTTAAATAATGTTTAACGTCGATGGATTTCGTAGAATTAGAAAACATAACTTCGTATGCTACGAGATAATGCTATTCTTGTTGCTTAATAAAAATCATTAACTCCTACTTCCTGCAATCCACACAGAAGATGGAGATTTTTCATAAGGATCGGCAGTCTGATGATCGCGTAAGCAATTCGGATGGTTGCTATATAGTGAGAGGTAGTATAAAATCGTGTGATCGAAGGCGCGATGCGAAGAAATGAACGGTGAGCATGAATACGTGTTCTCGAAGTTACGTAGTTTGCTGTATACATAGATCAGCTGTTTTGTACGAGATCGTCGCAAAAGTTTCGAAGACATCCGAGGACGGAAGTGTGACCATAACTCGGGCTGCTTGTTTCCCCAGTAGAATGCAAAAGTTACACGTCGACTCGTTATCCACGGTCGAATATCTCCGCTTGTCATAAACAGTGGCCGGTCGCCTAAATCTTCCCAGAATCGTCCTACGCGTCTCCCGATATTTCCCGAACGTCGGGATTGTTAAGCGTCGCGCATGGATGACTCCGGCAAGTAACAAGAACCGCGAGAGCATCGATAAGGACATCTTGCCGCAAATTGGCTGATGCAACCGCAGAAGCAACAGTAGCAGCCGTTCCTTTTCTAGCACCATCGCGTTGGAAATAAATGGGCATCTGATATATCGATTTTGAATGAAAATGCCGGCTGGCTTGTTCCTTCTGGCAAGTGGAAATTTAGCAGGCTTCGTTACGTTCAAATTTACGGGAGGTGCTTATTGATTATTCATCATCGTTGTTGTTCGATTTTTTTTTGTTCGCTCTTGCCACAAGCCCGTGAGAACTAGGTTCTTCAACTAGCAGTCAGCTATATGAAGGAGCATGTCCTCTTTTATCTGAAAGAATGTGGTCTTTAGAGTGGTGTTAAGAAAAGTTAGCGCCAAGCAATAAATATATATAAAGCGGTAGCTATCGGACGGTTATACTCCTTTCTCTTGTTTCAACCGAGCGTTAAGTTAGCAATTAGATACGACTATTAATCCTGGATTGATTCTGTGTTTAGGCTGTGGTGTACGTCCAACGGTGCATGGTGGTTCTCGCCATCTTTCTGTGCTACTTCCATATCCGAGGCGAGAAGCTCCCAGACGAGGTTGATTGCGAGTAAGTACACGTGCAACCTCTTGAAGCACGCAGGGTCCTCGGAAGGTCGTTCGGAAACTTGGAAGAGTGCCACTTCTGATTCGAATTCTTAAAGACTATTTCTTTTTGTCGAATGAGAGAGAGAGAATCGCATTTTCGAGAAAAAATTGCTGGCGGACGACACTCTTAGAACGACTATCCCATCTAGCATACGTGCGGGCATCGATTATGTATAATATCGTAAACTGTTGTTTTGTTGACATTAAAACGCGCTCTTTTCTCCATCCTGCAGAAAGCATCCGTTCCATATAGCGTGCAGAGGCTCGATGTCGAGAAAACGTACAATGTTCCCAAACATATACAGACTGGGCTGCGATGGTAGCGAAGGGAACGTGAACTGCATCAGAGAACTTGAAGAAAGGCATCGCATCCCCTACAGTTCGTCGTCGTTGTCGAAACTGTTAATGTCTCTGCTCGATAACGTAAGTCGCTCTCCTTCATCTTAGGATTATCCGATTATTTTCTCCACGATCAAACATTCAAACATCGACCCTTCATGTATTCGTTATAACATCGCAACAATAAATATACTATAATCAGGTAAAAGCTAGTGATAACTACAAATAAAAATCGCGTATAGCAGATATTAACGTTAATTCAATCGAGAATCTGATACAGAAATGTGAAAATATGGAATTTACATTTACGCACTTTGATATTAATTGTACGTCATCAGTGGTTCCTAGTACTTTGTAATTTTTCAGTGTTGACCTGAAGCTCGACGATAATAAATAATTTGTTTAAATAGTATTAATTATCGACATAAATACAAATCAATAAATTCCTTACTTCCTTATTCCATTTTGTAAATTGAAGTTCCGTCTTTGAGATATTCACGGTTGAAAATTGGTGATTCGATGTACGACGGGCGCACTTTTTAAATCTCAATCAGCTGATCGGTCAATTACACGCATGCGCGCACTTCAAATGAGTCCTCTTCTTAGGTATCGTGTTTTCGATTTCTTAATTTCATCATCCACCCATATGCATGTTACGTGGCTTCACACTTTTGGGACATCCTATATAAGTTCTTAAATAAATTTTAATGATAAGTGCATTCGACTGCTGATCAATGACAGTCTATTGATTTTTATCGCAGGATCTACAAAGGGACTCGACGTACTCCGCCCGGCACAAACCAAGGAACAATGAGATAGACGAACGGAGGCTACCTTTAATGCAGAATTTTTTGTCGGAATTGGACTCTTCGGATGCCAACTATTAAATGGACTGATCTGGAAATAAATATTTGCTCGACTCGTGCAAACATTTTTCATTAATCGAACTTTCAGAAATGTGTGTGTTTTGCCCTCTTTCTATACTGTTTACATCGAATAAAACTCCTCTCTCTCTCTCTCTCTCTCTCTCTCTCTCTCTCTCTCTCTTCGTCCTTTCCTGGCCCCTCCATGCTCTTATGACTGTCTCATGTAACTTTCCTCTGTCCTCGTTTTTCTCTTACAACTGAGATCTAATTGAAACATTGTACCCACGCTATTAACAATACATTGTGTGCTGAAGCATCAGAAAACACGTTTGAAATTCGCAGAAATTCCTTGGATTATCCTATTGAAAAGAAAGTACGAAATTAACATCGTGAATAATGTCGAACCTCCGCAATGTGTAAATTACTAATAATGTAACCGTCGCTTGAAGCAACACCGTCAAATGAAACTCTTGTACATATAAACGATTACTCCACGATTAGATATAACCTTGTTACGTTCAAAAGCGAAGGTACAGCATTAATCGAAATATTTATTTCCAGATATAATTTCGTGCGTTCTTGATACGTTTAACATAATGATAATTGCGCATAATATTCCATGCGATCACATGAGATATATCTGACATGTAAATCTGAATATATTGAAATTTTACAAGTTCTACAATAAATTCTTAGACTTATGTAGTGAAAAAAAGCAACGTTTAATTTATTTACGTTCATTTTTAATGTGTCATTTGCTATGAACAAGTTAGTCCCATTTCCTCATGAATTGAAACTATTCCTTGGTAAATGTGATGATTCTTTAATTAACTTCATTCGATTAAATTATTTTAATATAGATAGTTATAACTTCGATGATTCCAGTTTTATCAAAACTTATCATTAGTGCAAAACATTATAAATTACTATGCGGTGCATTTGCCATGCAACACATATCTCATTGGCCCATCTTTCAACGAATGATGTACTTATGCAAAATAATCCCGAGCCAAAACCTTCCAAACATTTTTGATTTTATAAACAAAACTATTTTTTAATCGTAATGATCTACTTATTATTTAATCAATTCATTTAAACTCGATTTTGGAAGATAAATTCTTTTCAATCCTGAAAATTAATCAATTAATCAAACTACGAATTTTACTCAACTACATCATACTACATGCTCAATTCTGATCATCTTCTACCAATAATATCAGGTTATGATACACTCCTGAAGAGTCACGTGTTTAATGTTTTCCTCTCACTTCAAGTTTAACAGATTCATTTTTAGTTCCATGTCAGAATACATTCGAAGAAATAAAAGAAGCTAAATGTGCACTGAAAAAACTGCATCATTTTTATTGATTTAAAGAATGAGTATTATCGTAAAAAGAATTTTGAATTGCCAACGCAGCAACGTTCGCAAATTAGTCAATGTAAGAATATGTGATCAATTGAACCACGTGTCGTACAGCAACAATGAATGGAACAGAAGAACATTCATCGCATTTCAACAATTTCCAGAGGAGTATAAAAAACATCTTATGTATCGAAAATGCACGAATATTGCATCTAATGAAAAGATCCCTGAACATCCGAATCGTAAAAATACTGAACATTCGCAAATGCATTCTCTTCTACAAAATTCAATGTATTACCGCAATACTATTGTACCATCCATTAAATCGACATTCGTTGTCACTGCAGAAGAAATCAAGAATCTAACTAACATGGATTGGTCGGCTGAAACACCAGACAATTGTATATATGCTTTAAAGAAAATAGCTCACTATCATTTGAACGGTTCACGTCTAGAAGAGCAAACGTACGAATATATTATCGAAAATCTTACCAAGAAGCTACCTGAATTAGACAACAAGCAAATCCAGATGTTGATGCAATACTTAATTGTAATAACCGGCAGAATTAGTAACTCACTTCATCGGTCATTTGTGAAAGCATTGGATAAGGAATGTTTGAAACGATTTTTTTCTGGAGATATTAATCAGTTATTATATACAATAGATGCATTTTATCAACTAAAAATATATAGCTCCGCATTTATGTGGCGTGGATTACGAAAGATAGGATCAAAACTTTATAAATTAAATGGGAAAAATATGGTACAATTTCTATTTTATTTGAGTCTCTGCAGTGTTCCTGATCTAGAAATGTATGAAATAGAACACCACTTCTTCGAAAATGTAATAGATGTTACACCTGATGAAGTAGGCATCGCTTGTAGAGGTTTCTTTTTATCAAAAAGGAGAATTAAAAATAAGGCATTAATGGCAAAGATGATGAACATAGTTACAAACAATATAGAAAGAATGCATGACTTTACCATAGCAGCATTCATGAAAGAAGTAAGGTAAAAAAAGAAATACTTCTTCATAGTAAATGGCTCTGTTTGTTTTAATTCAATAAAATATACATATGTTTTTAGGTACAGTGAGAACTGCTATGATACAGAGAAACTTGTAAAATTGCTAACAAAGGTAAAATCAATAGTAGAAAACATACAATCATTACATACCTTAACACACATTGCTCATATAATGGGTGCTACACGTGTGTATGATCCTATTTTAATGAACCATATTGTTCAAAGGTAACTCATATTTAATGAAAAACAATAATATTAGTGATATGTTCATTTTTAAGAATTGTGATATTGATGTTTAATCCAGATTAGATAATGAATTTTCATCAGCAAGATTAAAAGATATTGAAAGGATTATCTATGCTGTCTGTGTAATTACTCCTATTTCTGAATATCACGATACTTGTAACAAGTTTCTGAATTTATTATTGTCATCATATCAAACGACTAGAGCAAAAGAAATTTCACAGTGAGTTCTTATCGGATACCGTTAACATTACATATGCTCATACCAGTAACATAGAAAAATATTAACTTATTCTACAACTTGTTAACAGGTTTCCAAAAAATTTTTTTCGTTGTGTTCTATATTTATCATATAAAAAGATCTTTCCAGAAGAACTAATTAGACATGTGCTAGATCCCATGTTCGTGAAAAACGCATACAAATATAGCTTGAAATTATTGACAAACGATTTCTTATCTCTTCATTGTACAATTCAAATAGAATTACCACATTATACGGGTCCACTGCTGAGCGACGATATTTATAAGTGTTTAGTAGAGGTAACATTTAATATTACTAAAAAGTTCATTTGAATGAGTGTTAATGATTGACAGTTACTTTCTTAGCAGTTCTGCCGTAAGTCGGAGTTACGTGGAAAATTCCCTCTTGTAAAATTTCGAACAGAAGTTATACAATTGTGCAAGGTATATTTATTGAGAAAAGAATATCAATAACTACTAAAGACGATAGATATTGACTGTTTAAATCGTTAACAGGAGCTATTGGGAACAGACATATGTATTGATTACATTCTACCCCATCATTTTTTCCCGGATGTAGTTTTCGGTTTCGATGAACAAAACAAATTGGTACCAATTGCATCCATTTTATCAGAAATGCCAAATGGATCAATTAAAACTGTGCCTAGAGAGCATTTACAAACAATAAAGTGGAAAGTTATAGTTCCATTAAATAGTAACTCTGTAGTACCAGAACATGGTGGATATATAGGTCCAACATATGCAAGACTGAGGCAACTTCAAATGATTGGATATACACCAATTCCAGTAATGATACCATGCTTTTGAAATTGATAATTAATTTATTGATATCAAAATTTTTTAATGAAATGTAAATATACTTATTATTCTTCCAGGTAAATAAAGATATTTGGCAAACCTTAGATACTTGTGATAGAACACATTATCTGAAAGAACTAATTTACGAACAAGAACCAACTGATTATTTGAAAGAATAAATTTCACAATATGTAGTTAGAAAGAAAAATGTGAACAATTTATTTCTCGTTTATTTCCCAATGGCCATAATGTTTTTAACCAAATAGGTAAGTATATAATTTCATATTGTGATTTCTATTTTAGTCATACAATTTTTAAATAGGTTTTACAAATATATCACATAACACATTTTTTGGTTTGTGTAGTTTTTCCCAAATACTGAACGATTTTATTACAATTTATTGCATTATTTATGTTAACATGAAAATATAATATAATATTTACATACGTATGTATATATATTGTTATTAGACAAACCCATTTTTCCATTCATGTACTTTAAATTAATGAGTACAAGTTCGATCATAGTCAGTCGATATAACTATGCATAAATTTTTTAGTATATTCGTAGGTAACGAACAACGTCGCCGTCGCTGGTATTGTCCTTATTAATGTTGGTTTCAAGCCATTGTACAATGAACAAAAACCTTCGCTCTTGACAATATTCTGCAATACTACTAGTGCCGGTTCTTTTAAGTTTTTTACCTTCGAACATAGTTTGAATTTGAATTTAAAACGTAGCGTTCGTTACGAATATTATATACATAATAATTATTTATTATTATTATTATTACGTAATAATTACGTATATATACGTAAATTCTCCCTAATTTGCGCTCAGAGTGTGCACAAAAATGGACAATTTGGGAAGAGGAGATACGATTATTTGAAGTTTCTATAGTTACCGATTGTCAACAACTATAAAAACGAGGTTCCAGTAATCGTATTTCCTCTTCCCAATTACTGTATATCTATGTGTACATTAATGGCAGACCAGACTAACCTGTATTCTACTTTTAACTACGTCTGCTGGGAAAATTACAAGCCATAGAATAGAACCACCAACGGCACCGGCAATCATGGTTTTTTGCCAACCGATATTGTCCCGAGTTTCATGTGGTTTTTTGAGTAATTCTCTAGTGATTTCATAACCTCCAAAAAAAAAGAAATATCCAGGCATTTCACGTGCTATAGTGGACGATAAGCCAGTGAATAGGCCTCGTATGCCTTGTTCCTTAATAACTTGGTTTGTCAGTGCCCACGAGCTAACTCGTTTCTAAAAATGTATCATTTCAATTGTCGATAACATAATCGTTCTGCCATATTGTAATTTAATTTGTCCATCCTTTAAATTACCCTAACGGAACACTTTAACTTGTTAGTTTCTTTTTCCATTTCTGCCATCGCTTGCAATTTACATTTTATTAGCTCTGTTGGGCATAATGTTAACGAAGAGAAGAAAGCAGCGAAAAATCCGGCCCAAGCATTATGTATAGATGTTAGGTCCTCCACCTTCTTCACACCTACATAAAAATATTTGTGCAAACTAGAAATAGTAAACCTCTTCCGTGAAGACAATAATTTTACCTAATAAATTCGAAATAACTTTTTGACATCCTCCATATGCTGCAAATAGAACTGAATTTTCTGCAACATTAGCAACGACTGCAGGCACAGTTCCTGCATATAAACCACGCATTATTCCATCCGTTTTCAATGTCTTTACAAAACAATTGACCATTCCATTGTACATGGAAGGAAATGTTTGCATTTTTACCTTAACAGTGTCTAATGGTTGTCCAACATACACAAGTGCTACCCCACCTTGAAATGACAAATAAAATAAATATATATAAAAATAGAATATTCGCGTTTTTCCTTGAACATAAACATAGAACAATGACTACTATTTAGCAGAAAAATGATCGAATTACAGTAGAAAGTTTCAAACAAATTACAAGTTCTTTACTTAAGTTGGATCATCAAAGAACCTTTAAAAAAGTCAGCACATTTTATTCTGCTTTTTGTTAATTAAATCACAGATTTCTAGAAAATGACGAAATAAAACCGAATCTTAAGTTTGCGAGAAAATAGTAGATTCAATTTAACTTTATTGATTATTTAATTTGCATTGATACTGTTTCAAACAGTGTTTACAAGTGAAAAAGCTGAACAAGGAGATTCAAATTCATTAAGGGGTATTTTTACCAAGAGATCCAGCAACAAAATCAATTAAGCCATCTTTCATGCTTTTTAAACGTTGATTCCCGTCGTTAGTTAATTCGACTGTCATTGTTATTACTATATTAATGACCGATTATTAACTTTTAGAGAGAAGACCAGGTTAACATGTGGTTTCACTGTAACTGTGTCCTATCTACTGCTCCCTATCCGATAAGAAAAGAGAAGGAAAGTTCATTTGTTGATTATACAAGTCTTTGAAACTCAGAAACTTCAGCTTTATAAATTCTTTATTTACACAATGATATTCACGGCACAGATTTCTGTATATGTATCTCATATAAAATGCGCACGCGCGTTTCAATTATACGTGTCTCTCGACATCGCACATTATAACCTCTCCATCGTACATTGTCTATCCCCACCATCTCATTGCGCATTCAGTCGTGCGCCGATGTTCAAGAAAGAAAAAAGCAATAACCGGGAAAGACAAAATCGACAAAATCGTGTATGTAGCTGCAAAAGTGACATATGTACAGTAAAAATCAAAAGTTTAATTTGATTGAGTCGAATGTAATAATACGTTAGTGACACAGTAACATAATATTTGGGTACAGTATAAGCGAAAACCGATTTGTCTATATCTATTATGTTGATTGTATGTCACTGTGTAGCAAATCTCATGTCTATCCTTCCTTGTCTGTAGTGGGGTCAGCACTTTCGCAACTGTATATGTTTTGCCAACCAATCATTGCAAAGATAATATTTTCCTAACCTCTTTGGTGTCGCGTTATGCTGCCTGAATTGCGAGCAACTGCAACATGTTGACGAAACAAGGCACAAGATTGCCTGTCTATCATTGATAAAACGAAGAATAATTCATCGATCGGTAACAGTTCAAGTATGATAACAGATAGCGATTAATGTAAAAATCATAGTTCATGTATTCGTTGATGATATTAATTTTTCAATTTAGTTAAGGCCTCGTTCAAATTGACATTATCAGCTGTTTCGCTTAACTGATAAGTCGCTCTTGCGATAATACATAGAATTTTTCTCTCGTTCCTTTGTCATCTGTTTTTAAATTTTATATTATCTTATTTAAACAAGTTTCCAAAACTGAATTTTTAAGAAAAAAATGGAGAAAATCGATTTATCTAGACGATTGTATTTTTTTGTGTTAAAATTTAAGCGAGTGTGCAAATGTAATGAAATCATGATGATGTATAAAAACACAAAATGAAAATTGGCAGATACCTTGATCATCTTTATTGAAATTATTTTTCTTTTTCTTTTTTATATTACGAGATAGAGTTGACCAATTAACAATTGAAAATAAAATATAGGATTGCCAATGGTCAATTGCAATTAAGTAAACTAAGTAGGTATATTAGTGATTGGATAGATGGTCGAGTTAGTTATTTATTATATAAATATTTGGGTGTACGACTCAAAGACCAACGACTAATGATAAAAAATGATCATTTCTAATCAATAATCGGCAACTAATTTTACAAATAATCGGCAACTAATTTTACAAATAATCGGCAACTATCACTATCAATTGATCAAAACAATCGTGATCTTTCGTGATTCATACTATGTTTGTAATCACGAGTAATCATTAATCAAACAAATTAAAAATACTAATCGATTAATGCCCGACTCTGTTACAGAGAGAACTGAAATATCAAAACGGTTGTCATAGAAACGCAGTGTTACATCTTTCAAATTTCAGGTTACCAAATTAATGTCTCCGATAACTTCAGCTCGATTCTGACAAGGGACAGAAAGAAATGTTCACTGAAAATGTATATCGCACCGAGCGTGCAACTCGTATCCATGCACAGAGCAATGTAATTTCGTAAACAAGCCGCCCGTGAATCGTTCTGAAGAAATTCGGAACCGTGAAAGCTTTAGAGTAATTCAGGCAGCTTGGTAAAGTCAGAAATGTTACTAGACCGATGTGTTCAAGACATATATATGTATGACGTTCGCGACATTCTGTAGTTCCAAAACATGGATTTTCTCCCTTACGTTCACGATTAAATGGTTATCGTTTCCGAATTTGTTTTGACGAAGCGTGCGTCGAGTTTCGTTCGAGTTACAAAAGGGTCGCAACGATTCAGTTACAATGATCAGTTCCTTTACAGCACGAAAATAGGGAAAGTGTGCGTGCCTATAGTAGAACTGCCATGATAGATCCGAACGCGTCTTCGTCTTATTCGAAAAAAGTCCGAGATTGCTAGCAAAATGCGTGTTTTTTATTGTCAGGAGAGTTTCTTTAAGGTAAGTGCGCTTCCAGGATCGAGATGGTATATTTTGGTCGTTCTCGGGTTCATTGGGAAGAAGGAAAATTCTCTCGATAAATTGGAGCGCAGCGTGCCTCTAGGAGCGCTCTGGCTCGTCTGCGCCATTAGAGTTCCGAGCATGATCTCCAGATATTCGTGTTATATTGCTAAAATAACACCTAACACCGACAAACCGCTTCTCCGGTCCCGCACATGCTTTATCCCTCAATTATTTAACGTTTCCGCGATTCGCAAACAAATTCACTGATATGATTGATGCGTTGGTATTCCGAAATTTTTAACAGTGCATTCTTTACCAAAGAATATATTTTTCTCCATTACTTTCGTCTGTTTCACCCCAAGTTACGTATATTTACTCTGGACGTGATGTTCTTTAAAGCATCAGTATTTAAACCTCAAATCAGTACACTATCTTATGATGATCTTTCTGTTTCTCTGCTTCAATGTATCTTGTGTCAGTGATCTTTTCATGATTTGTCACACTTGCATTTATTTTGTCCAGTTGAAATGTCATTTTGAAATGAATAAATGATAAATGTAAATTAGCATTTGTATCATATGATAAAGGTAATTTCATTTACATGTTGTGTATAGTGAATATATTACATTTAATATCAATGAAGTTTTGTTACTTGTTATGAAGAGATGCAGTATATTCTGTTTGTGTAAATAAATAGTGCAATATCTTTTTGGCAGAATTTTAGATTTATTTGGAAAGAAAATAAAATGTGTGTTTTCTTCTTCAGTAACAGTACAGATTACAGAATGGTGGTGGATTGCTTGTCCATTCAAGGCTCAGCAGCTATAGTACGGAAGCAGGAGCGAAGATTGGGTGGGTCGGTGGGTGCCAAAATGCAACCTAACAATGTTGGTAGTTGCGGTGGCATGACGCCCAAAGAACTCTCTGACAATGACGACCTAGCAACTTCTCTCGTGCTAGATCCTTATTTAGGATTTACCACCCATAAAATGAATATTAGGTAAATATCTTACAGCAAAATAGGAAACTCTTAATTCAATTTGATTGTCTATAAAATTATTATTTAATTATGAAGATACAGGCCATTGAAAGCAAATAAAGAAGAACTTAAAAAAATTATCTGTGAATTCATTCAAACACAAAATTATGAGAAAACATATAAAAAGTTAATGGGTGGTGACTGGGGTGCACGGCTTCCGCACACAAAATCCAAACAGCAACAGATCAATTTGGAGAAGCATGTGAGTCACATCTGTGAAAAGGAATGTTTGAAATAGCTTTTTATAATTTCACTGATACCAATTATTTTCTTTTTTCTTTTTTTGTGTAGATTTACCGGTATTTAAGAGTTTTCGACAAGGATTCTGGATTTGCAATAGAACCATGTTATAGATATTCATTAGAGGGTCAAAAAGGTGCCAAAATTTGTGCAACCCGAAAATGGTTGAAACATGACAAAATATCTTGTCTAGTTGGTTGTATTGCTGAACTCAGTGAAAAGGTTTGTTTGCTAGCAACGATAGAAGAAATGGAGGGGAACAGGAATTTTGTTTACTCGTGAAATAATGTTTCAGGAGGAAGCAGCATTACTTCATCCCGGGAAGAATGATTTTTCCGTAATGTTTAGCTGTCGAAAGAATTGTGCACAGCTGTGGTTGGGTCCAGCAGCATACATTAATCATGATTGTAGGGCTAACTGCAAGGTTAATAAGAATGTCCCGTTTACTTCTCTTTTTACACCACTATTTTTATTTTCACCTTAATTATTCATTTTATGTATTTTTTATGAAACAGTTTGTGGCAACAGGAAGAGATACAGCTTGCGTTAAGGTACTTCGTGACATCGAAGTGGGTGAAGAAATAACGTGTTTCTATGGAGAAGACTTCTTCGGGGATGGTAACTGTTATTGCGAGTGTGAAACCTGTGAAAGAAGAGGAACTGGAGCTTTTGAGAAACAAAAGCCTGGTGAAGAGCTCTCCTCTGGTACATTTTAAAGTTGATTTGAACTTAGGTGATATGGATCTGTGTCTGCATCGTTAATAAATGATAAACTGTTACAGGATATCGTCTGAGGGAAACAGACAATCGTATTAATCGTACGAAGCATAGGCAGCAACCATTAAATCGCAATAAGCAACAAGCGGACACAGCGCTGACTGAAAGGAACGCGGTGCTTGTTGGTAATGCAGCGATAGCGCCGCAAAGTCTCAGCATGAAGGAGCTACGGAGGAAGGGTTTGACAAAATATGATGCAGAATTGTTGATTGCGCAAGGTTGTCGGTTTTCTGACATTGCCCAGCAGCAGCCTAGCATAACTAATGGAGAGAACGTGCTACAAGCGTCTCGCCCACATCCAACCGCCATCACCAATTCCGTGACGAGGAACTTACGAAATAAGCAACTTAGTAAATTTGACAATAATAATGGTCATCAAAACAATGTCAAAAATAATCAAACCCTTAGGGCCTCCAGGTGAGACTATAATATTCGGTATGCAAATAAATGTATAATAAATGTAACAATTTCTAATTTGCATTTGATTCATAGGCTACATAAAAGAACGGAAACCAAGAAGAGTAGAGTCTCGGAAAAAGCTAGATCTCCTTTGAACGGTTCCATAGCGAAAAATATTGAAATAGAAGATATCAGCCATCGCAAAGAGGATTCCGATAGAGTGGAAGTAACCGACGAAGTTGTATACTCCAGACTCCATAAAACACATTCGGAGAACACCTTGAACGAAGAGATACACATTTGCCATGTTCAGTCCCCGCACCATGACATAATAGAACAATCGACTTGTTCCGAGATACAGAAAGAGTGTCCATCCGCACTTCTGAAAGATAATCAAGAATTGGATAGCGAATCGTTAGACGAGAAAGAAACACGCGACGTAGAAATTAACTCTAATTCAATAGGTAATGTTAATGCTTCCGATTCTAGAAAAGATCATTATAGTACAAATACCTGTGATTCAGTTCATGTAAGTTCCATACCCGAAACTCGTTTAGATCATTTAGACGTGGCTAGTAACAAAGAATTAATTCCACAAAACAAGTATCAGTCTAGGACTTGTCATTATAGTTTATCGCCAACTGAAAATTTCGAGAATACGAACAGTGTGTCTATGACAGCAATAAAGTCGGACAATTGTATTCGAAATCTTCTAGAACTTGAAGAACAACAAGATTCCAATGAGAACAAAGTAGATAATTACGAACTTACGAAGAAAGATGATTTTTGCGAGGTCGTGGAACACATGTCTCCGATTCACGTGAAATCACCTAAAAACGAGATCATTGAAAGTGATAGGAATATTTCGGCATTGTTCGGCTCTCAAAACTCCATCAGGGAACATAAAAAGAACGATTCCATAAATTCGGCCACGTTGATGAAATGTTTGGTGCAGAACCAATCCGAGAAATTCAATACATTTATTTCTGAGCCCATTAAGTTCTCGATGAAGGATGAGCATAGCGAAACAAATTTTGTTGAAGACAACTTGAGCATAGAAAACAACGTAGAAAAAAATGTCGAATGTCATGGTGCAGTCCTGACTCAACAAAACGATTTATTACTTAAGAACGATGTGTATATAGTAAACGTTGATAATTCGGAGATGAACATCGAGAAATCGAATATCGTTGAAACCTGTGCAACGGATATGGATTCTCGGACGCAATCATATAATGAAAATATTTCAGACTTTGGTGTAACAGCGTCTAACAGCTACAGTAACTCTACCACCCATAATCTCTTAGAGGATAGTCAGAATTTTCTGTTAAAGCAGTCGATGCAACAGCACGATATGTCGAACGCTACGTCGAGATCGCATAAGAGTAGGAAAAAGTTGTTCAGCGACAAAAGATCCGTTTCGTCCGGATCGAAAGAGGAATCTGAGATTTTGGGTGAGCACAAAATAGGTGACATGATCACATCCGTCTCGAAGAGTCGCAGCAAAGTGATGAAGACGAAAAATCGCTTGACAAGAAATCAAAAAAGGGATCGACAGAAGATGGCTAGTGCCGATATCGGGGTGGCCGATGACGACTCGGGTATTCAAGGTGATATTTATGAATTTAGCGAAAAGGAGAGCAACCTGGAGGACATTAGAATACCCTCGATAATGCGACGAACGAAGCAGGAGACCACTCGCCAGGCATCCGTGCTCACATCGCATTTACAGGAGATGCAATACAATGACGAATGCAATAAAGCCGAGCCTCCAGTATTAGTCCCGCAGGAGCCATGGCCGCCTGCGAGTTGTAATCAAAATCAGTTCGCAGATTCGGATGGCAGCAGTCAGTCGAGAGAAAATTCAGTCGACGGCGAAAGTCTGAAAAGGTGAATGTTGTACATTTACATTCTTTGTAATTCATCTTTGAAGCAACGAAAACCATTTTATGTCCTTGCTCTCATTGGTTGGCGATATGCAACTTGAAATAAAGAGGAGGATAGCTTAGACACAAATTTTGAAGCTTGGGTTCTTCCAACAACTTTTCAAAGTTGGAAGTTTAACTCCTGTTTGAAAGTTGAATTTTAATATACGGTTTCTTGTAGATTATCAACTTACAACAACGTAAATGCACAAAAACCGACCAGCTTGACAGAGTGCCAGTGGCAGACGAGTACCACGAATTGCCAAGTTTGTCCGACCACACCTGAGAGGACCGGCCGATTAAAGCTGACTCTGCGTATGAAGCGTTCGCCGGTTTTGGAGGACATCGTGGAATCTGGGACGAGCCTCAGCGAGGATAGTTATGAGCCTGAATACGAAGTATTACGTGTTGAGGGCGTGGAGCGAAGTAGACGTAAGAAGAAGCATAAAACCCGAGACCGTGAAAGACGGCACAAGAAACGCGAATTGAATCTGGACCCACCGCCACCTCCAATGAAAAGGTTGCGCTTGATCTTCGGCAACGAGACACATACCATTGACTTCCCGCACTCTTAACAGCTATAAATAGGAATTCGTTTTTGGTTCCACTCTGAACAAACTATAAACACAAATTTAGGCGTGCGGAAGCAGGCCTCTTTTTTCCGTTGCGTAATTTCCTAGAGGTTCCACGAAAGTAGAAACGACTCTTAAGAGAAAAACATGAGTTACTCTATAATGAAAAATTTAGAAGCGTTCTCTCACTTTGCGTTCTTCTTGTATATTCGCCGTCTGTATTTGCCCTCGCCTCTTGTTCTTCTAACAACGAATGCTTACAAGGCCTAGCGTAGTCCTTTGTTTCACGGAGATGAAGAAGAAAATGGTTAAAAAAGGGGTGACGCGTTCGGATCAATCTTGCGGGAAAGGAAAAAGTGGGAAATTTTCATGCGGTTTTCGTTCACATCCGTTCAAACTATAACGAAACTTAGTGTATCTCGTATTACCCATGGCGGTGATCTTGTTTTTGTATTAATTATTCTGTACATATAATTTTGATACAAGAGACAGGCTCGACGATCTACGGTCTTTCACTATCGTTTTATCCTTCGACACCGATACAAGGTTATTTCGTTGGACTTTCTTTTCTTTTTTTTACGAATATTTATGTATCGTGCGCTAAAAGTTCACGCGTGTAGGATAACGAACGAATTTGAACATAGACGATTATCCCCCATCTCGCTGTTGAAAGCTCGCATGGGGGTGTGCACCGGCGGTTTGAGTTGCATCTGAGCACTGTTTCGGTAGATAAACAACAAAAAAAAGAGGACAAAGGAGGAAAATCCATACTCTTATACTATGTATAAAAATAGATATTATTATAATAATTGAAATAATAATGATAATAATTAAATAATTAATTTAGCTAATACTAGGTAGCACACATTAATTGCTGTTTTCAGATTGCGTGATCGATATCATGAAAAACATTGTACATAATGCTTATACATATACGTATATACATATACATACATACACATATGTATATATATATATATATATATATATATATATATATATTATATATATATATATGTGTATATATATATATATATATATATATATATATATATATATATATATATATATATATATATATATATATATATATATATATATATATATATATATATATATATATATATATATATATATATATATATATATATATATATATATATATATATATATATATATATATATATATATATATATATATATATATATATATATATATATATATATATATATATATATATATATATATATATATATATATATATATATATATATATATATATATATATATATATATATATATATATATATATATATATATATATATATATATATATATATATATATATATATATATATATATATATATATATATATATATATATATATATATATATATATATATATATATATATATATATATATATATATATATATATATATATATATATATATATATATATATATATATATATATATATATATATATATATATATATATATATATATATATATATATATATATATATATATATATATATATATATATATATATATATATATATATATATATATATATATATATATATATATATATATATATATATATATATATATATATATATATATATATATATATATATATATATATATATATATATATATATATATATATATATATATATATATATATATATATATATATATATATATATATATATATATATATATATATATATATATATATATATATATATATATATATATATATATATATATATATATATATATATATATATATATATATATATATATATATATATATATATATATATATATATATATATATATATATATATATATATATATATATATATATATATATATATATATATATATATATATATATATATATATATATATATATATATATATATATATATATATATATATATATATATATATATATATATATATATATATATATATATATATATATATATATATATATATATATATATATATATATATATATATATATATATATATATATATATATATATATATATATATATATATATATATATATATATATATATATATATATATATATATATATATATATATATATGTGTGTGTGTATATATGTGCGTATATATACATATACATATATTATATGATGTATGTATATATGCGCGCATAGGTATGGGTGTACGCGTGTTCTATTTTACCCATGGATACACGCATACGTACGTACGTGTATACGTGAAATGATTCATTACTGTATTCTGTATATCGATGTATTACAATGCCTTGTTACAGGTGAACGTGAAAAAAAAAGAAAAGCAAACAAACAGAGACGCATGTTAATATGTCATTGTATATCGGAATACACCGTTTACGAATATAGTAACGAAATAAGAATAATAACAACAACAACAATAATAATAATTAATAACACTAAGAGAATTTCATTTAGTGAGGCGGGAGAGAGAGAGAGAGAGAAGGGGAGAGAGAGGGAGAGAGAGAGAGAGAGATTTAAAAAAGGAATCAGTTGAAACATGCAATGGGAAAAATAAGAAATGGTGAAGAGGAAAAGAAAGGAGAAGGAAAAGAAGGGCGAGTAGATTATCTCATTAACATCTTTTCTCGCGTCGAACTCGAGGAACGTGATTTCTTTTACGTTGAACCGTTTGCTTTATGTGTAGAAAAACAGATGCGTCGTTTCGATTGTGAAGCGGTTTTTTCAATCGTTGAGACTGAAGCTCAATTATGATTAGAAGAGTCACGTGATTTTTCGAGCATTCAGATCTGAAATATTTCTCGGTCAAAAACAACTTTTGTATACGTTATATATGTGTATATATATATATTTGTTTCTCTCTTTCTTAGTTCGTTTTTCCAGACAGATGCAAAACAATTACACGGTGTACATTTTAAACATTTCATATACACTTTCCCTTCCCCTATTAGTACTACAAAGTTTCGCGCGTTACACGCTAGAACTGCCATAGTTGATTACAAGTATCTGGATTTTGATGTGAAATAAACATTTTATGCTTCGGTTGCAAGTAGCAGGAGTTAAATAGAAATTTATTTCCGTCTTTGTAAATTGATTTTCACCTTTGTAGAAACGATATTACGAAGTTTGAAAAGTGTATGACGTTAAACAAATTGCAAAATCGCAAAATTCCTTAGCTAGGAGGAGGTGGTGGAACAATAAAATGTTTAAACAAAAGTTACGAACAATATTATTTTGATGGTAATATAGACAGCGGATCTTTATGCATTTATGAGATCGACGATGTAGAATACTAAGAAGTATGTATACGAATTATAATTAGCGGCGTTTTCATTTTATGTTAAAAATTGTCTAGTCAACAAAAGGAAGATTTCTCTTGCTTTATCTTTTAATAAATAATCTATGAAAATTGTAAATTGTGTGCACAGAAATTGCATGGGAATATTTCGAATGTTGGTTTGCTTTTTATCCATCCATAAACGCATAAGTCTGCGGTCTAGGAATAATTGTTAAATTAATTAATTTATTCCTACTTGTACCAGGCGAAGATAAGATAGACGAATTTTTCAGGGAACAAGAAACTAACAATTTTGGTTACGGAACAGTTCTAGCGTTCAACGCGAACCATAATGGTAGTCGTAAGAACATTGTAAACGGGGGACTAATTATTTATTTTACACGATTCATCGTTCGATATTTTCATTGAAGCTACGATAGAAATTTGTTCGGCTGCAATAGCGATTCGTACTGTTTGTAGTATCTACAACATTTTATACATATGCAACATCACTTCGAAAGATTCGAATCGACTTCGAATCAACTTCTGCGCTCGGTGCATCTCTCTCGATAATGCACTCGCAGAATCTCTACAATTCTTACGATATTTTTATGAAACTTTTACCACAAAGGATCGGATGAGGTTCACGAATTGCGAAACCAATATGAAATTCTTCGAATCTTTCGAGGAGTATTTGTACAACTCACGATATGCAATGATTAACCATTCGAGAGACATAAATTCGACGACACTACAATTTCCAATCTTTAAGCACAGAGTCTCAACTCGTTTAACCATAAACCTAAAATTAATTAATTTACGAAACCGAAGCTAAACTGTTCAAATTCATCACATTTCTAATTTTTTTTTTCGGACCCGGCCGATTCCTTACGGCAATATACTTGTAGTCAATGTGTTAAAAAATAGGAAAAGAATTATTGTCATTCAAAAGCTATCTTCGCAAACGCTTGCGGAGCTGAAATACATTTTCATGGTCACTAAAAATATGGTCAAAGTTTATGTCTCGTTCGTTCGCACAGTATATTTCCTTTCGTGCGACTGGGCCGCGGTTCTCAGCACCCATCCCACTATTAAAATTCGACGAGACTTTTTATTTCTCGCGGCATTATACGGAACCTTCGAGAAAGCAGATTCCAGTCAACGGAGATCTGCATTTGCAGAAAGATCCGCGGTCCGCTAATGTTACATTTCTATCCAGCGAAACACAATCGCGGCAGTGTAAACGTGTCAAAAGGACTGCTGTACATTTCTATTAAATATATGTGTATATCTTTTTCTCTTTTTCGTCCTGTGTTTGTGTCAACAAGATGTATTACTCTCGACGACGATGACGACCACGATGACGATGAAAACGAGAAGTTTGATTGAAAAAAAAAGAAGGGAGGACGGAACAGGCGGAGAAATCAGTATTAGATCAGTTCATCGAAATATTTGAAGGCAAGCCCGACTTGATGTTCACGAGACTCGAGTTCCAAAATTTCACATCTGATCAAACGAGCCCACGGCGATCATTCCTCCACCGTGCAATAGAGCATTTAAATAACATTTAAGAGCGTTCCGTAATTTAACTTAATCATTATATACAAATAGGATGTAATTTTCCTTAAATAGTATGTCCGTTAATCGATCTATAACATTCTGTAAAGTTTGTGATAAACAAAACGACAAAAAAAGAAAACACGAAAAAGAAGCTATTGTATTATTCGACTCGACTATTCTCGTTCCGACGTAGCGCCGTCGTAGCCGCCAAGTTTCTTCTCGAATGGGTTCACCAAGGAAACAGCTCAAATTCGTGTGTTGTACATTCAGATTTGCGAAAAACGGCGGTTCGTGCCCACCGAANGAGAGACATAAATTCGACGACACTACAATTTCCAATCTTTAAGCACAGAGTCTCAACTCGTTTAACCATAAACCTAAAATTAATTAATTTACGAAACCGAAGCTAAACTGTTCAAATTCATCACATTTCTAATTTTTTTTTTCGGACCCGGCCGATTCCTTACGGCAATATACTTGTAGTCAATGTGTTAAAAAATAGGAAAAGAATTATTGTCATTCAAAAGCTATCTTCGCAAACGCTTGCGGAGCTGAAATACATTTTCATGGTCACTAAAAATATGGTCAAAGTTTATGTCTCGTTCGTTCGCACAGTATATTTCCTTTCGTGCGACTGGGCCGCGGTTCTCAGCACCCATCCCACTATTAAAATTCGACGAGACTTTTTATTTCTCGCGGCATTATACGGAACCTTCGAGAAAGCAGATTCCAGTCAACGGAGATCTGCATTTGCAGAAAGATCCGCGGTCCGCTAATGTTACATTTCTATCCAGCGAAACACAATCGCGGCAGTGTAAACGTGTCAAAAGGACTGCTGTACATTTCTATTAAATATATGTGTATATCTTTTTCTCTTTTTCGTCCTGTGTTTGTGTCAACAAGATGTATTACTCTCGACGACGATGACGACCACGATGACGATGAAAACGAGAAGTTTGATTGAAAAAAAAAGAAGGGAGGACGGAACAGGCGGAGAAATCAGTATTAGATCAGTTCATCGAAATATTTGAAGGCAAGCCCGACTTGATGTTCACGAGACTCGAGTTCCAAAATTTCACATCTGATCAAACGAGCCCACGGCGATCATTCCTCCACCGTGCAATAGAGCATTTAAATAACATTTAAGAGCGTTCCGTAATTTAACTTAATCATTATATACAAATAGGATGTAATTTTCCTTAAATAGTATGTCCGTTAATCGATCTATAACATTCTGTAAAGTTTGTGATAAACAAAACGACAAAAAAAGAAAACACGAAAAAGAAGCTATTGTATTATTCGACTCGACTATTCTCGTTCCGACGTAGCGCCGTCGTAGCCGCCAAGTTTCTTCTCGAATGGGTTCACCAAGGAAACAGCTCAAATTCGTGTGTTGTACATTCAGATTTGCGAAAAACGGCGGTTCGTGCCCACCGAAGAAGAAATGGCGAACACCTTTGCCCCCCCCCCCCCCACAACAGCAATTCGTCATTTTGCGAAATTATTTTCAGAAAAAATGTCCGAGTTTCCGTTGTTTCTGCGTGTGTGTAAAACATGTTCACGAGATTTGTAACATTTGCCATTAGATCGTTCAACGAGTTCCTGCGGCTTGCTTCCCTACGATTTCAATTTTTCCAAAGATACTTTATCAACGTTTCATTATTTGCAGACTTTTGAAATTCGAGAACTTCGTACTAGTGCCAATTTTTCAGATTTCTAATCGCATTGCTGAGAGACATGTGTCATCATGAAATCTTCAGCTACGAGTCATATTTAAATCGTTGAAGAATATTTCATTGAAAGCCGCACGAACTTGATGGACAATCTGCATCAATTTGTAAGCTAGAAAGTGACTCCATTTATCAGAGAAGAGAAGCCGGACGTATCTCATGGCTGTTTCTTACGTAGCTAAACAATTCCCATCGGGTTCTACTGGGTAGAATCCTCTGGGACGATCGAAAACTTCAAATCAATTGCGAGTTTTCATGATTGCATACGTGTGTTGTAAAAAAGAACGTCGACGTTCATCTAACGCGTTCACGGTTTTGGCGATCACCTGTACATATTTTGCGGATTTAAGTATTCTTCGATTTGCAAAAGGCTCGAACACCTTGAATATCTCGCTTGCTTTTGGGAAACAAGATAAAATAAAGGATTTGTTTTCAATGGGAAACGAACTTTCTGTTGTTCCAAGACCATGGACGTGTTAGTGTTCTACACTACGATTTACCGATGTTTGTCTAACTTGTTGATCGAACGAATTTCAATTCTACGAAGACCCAACGCACGAACGGTTGTGATTACACTTTTGTATTTTACCTTCCAAATAATATGAAAGGAAAATTCGCGTTACTTCTAGGTAGAGAGTAAGTTCACGCAAATATAAATTTTGAGAAGAGAGATTGATGCTAAATAAAAAATTCAATTTCCGTCGTAAACGGCTTCGAGAATTAGCAATACTTTACAATATTTTATAAAAGTTAATTCGTCCTGCCCGAACAACAGGTTACACAGATACATTTTGAGAAGTTACGATTGTCGCGACGAGTGATGACGAAACGAGACGGACTCGGGAGTTTGACACCGATAATTTTGATCGGTAAGTTGATCAAAATTAAGACCCGTCGAACGTTAATTAAACTTTTTATCGAGCGTGCATTAGAATTTGCGTATGCATTTTATGCGCACACGTGCTACACACACGCGCCCACTCTTATCAAAGAGTGATCTTTCATTTTCGCTTTTAGCCCGAGGGAATTCATTGCTTTCCTCTCACTGCCATTAAAAGGTCGTTAGTTTCCTCTTTGAACTTAATGCTCGTCGTTGTTAAATTAATAAATACACGAAGTTCACGAATGCGAAGTGCAATGTTACAATAGCTATCGTAAGCGAGATTCTGCAGTGGGTGTAAGAAGTGTGTCTACGGCCGCCATTTTGTTTTCAATCGCCGACAACGTTCTCGAACGCTGAATTAACTTAATTATTTGTATGTGGTTATTTCAAGATAATGTTTGACTGTTAGCGAATCGGACGGTATTGTCGATTGAAAGGTGGCGGTGTGGGAATAGGTCTTTTCTGCCCGCTGTGTGTGTACATGGTGACCGACAATTTTAATTGGAAATCAATTAAAGATGAACCAGCGGTCTCGGCGTATACTGTAACTGTATTATTGTCAGTACTGTAATTGTATTATCTTTGTTGATCCAAAAAAAGCAGAAAAAGAAAAGAAACAAAAGCATAAAATTGTATATTATCATTATTATTTTCTACGGATTAAGGTGTAATAATAAATTGAATTGCATAGCCCAATAATATACACGGATGTGTTATTGTTTCGAATAATAATGTGAATCGTCTTGTCATAGATTCGTGATGCCTGTAAAACCTGCGACGAACACGCAAGAAATCTTAGCATGCAGTTTGTGTATAGAGATTTCGCAAACCGGAAGCCATCATTTTATATATGTAACTCTGATATAATGCTGTAACGTACTATTAGAATTCGTTAAGTTCTCCGTTCGTTTCCTTTCTCCTTATTTAACGAAAAGCTGCGCGCCATTCGTGGCGCGCGAGCTTCAGGATGTGAAAATATACGATTTAATACGCAAAATTGTGGAGGTATTCGATTTATTTTCTTGCAGAATAATTTCATCGGACATTTATACGTTATCATGAACAAGATATAGGAACAAATCTCACAGCTTGACAAAATCTCATGCATGACAATCGATTAAAGACTTTTTTTAAGAAAGTAGTGCATGGTAGAAACATCTTAAAAATTGAATCAAAGTAACCCTTTAACTTTTCAGAATTATCCCATCAGGACTTATCAATTTTTCGATTTGATTTCGAATTGTTCTATCGTTGTAAGTAAATCTATCTCTAAAAGAGCGATTTTTCAGCTTGCATTTAAGTTCTTAAAAGTTTGTAAATTCTCCGTTAAAGCGGTTTATAAAATCGATTCAAAGTTATATTTAAGTTAATACATATTTAAAAATCGGCCGATAGTGGCGCCGCTTGTGGCAAGATGGAGAATCTTTTCTCAGCGTTCGTACAGCGCCAATTAATCAGTGGCAAAACGCTGAAACTGATACACAAAATTATCGACAGTCGATTTGGGTTAAGAGTTTGAGGGTTTTCCCAGTGGCTAATTGGCGCTGTACGGTCTTTGAACGAACCTTCGAGAGTTCGCCACAAGAGGCGCTATTGTTGCACAAACTACAATTGATTCTTATATTGTTTATGTATATTGTAGCAAGGCGGCAAGAATCATCCGTGCTCTATATTAGCAACTTAGTTGTTTTCATAATATAGATGGATGCAGCAGAGTTTGCTGAACATTTTCTCAGCATTTTTTTCCATACAACATTTATAATTGCAACAAATATTCAATTTTCTCTATATTTAATTATATTAATAAGTATATTTTTTGAAGACGAAGTGATAACAAATAACTCGAACCCATTGAATTTATTAATAAATCATTTGTTTATTCCCATTTCACATTTTTTGTTCATGTGTCATTTACAATTTATTAAACAGTGTAAATACAACATTAGTGTCAGTAATTGTGCAGACGTGCACAAATAATCGACACATATATTAGATTTCCACTAACACCAATCGAATTGGTGTCTATAAATGTTTATTAAAATTCTTTTATAGGAAAAATAATTTAAATTTAAAAAATAATTTAATTCTATATCTTTCTTTAGACCATTCGAACTATTTGTGACATGTGCTCTAGGTATATGCGTAATAGTTAACAAAATTATGTTAATCATTAGAAACAGTAATTTACATACAAAAAACGTAACAAAAAAGATACACTATATATGTATACTGTACTATAAGTAATACAGAAAATAAATTAATTATTTTGAATGAAACATTTAAGAACTATATAACAATCTCCCTCATAAAAAAGATTATTTAAGAAAATCGTCAGTGCATAAATCTGCAATAGTGAATCTATTGGCAGTAATAAATTTGTTAAAAAAATTTCGGATGTCATTATACTGCGAGATCATCAACCTTCTTTTCCGAAATTCAGTAAATCAGAATGAATCCTAAAATGTAATCTGGATTCAAGAAGGTATCCGGTATAATTTTTTCTGCAATTGGATAGAATAATTTTAGTCGACTGTCGATCAGATTATTACTGCTATATACATATAAAACTAAAGAAAAAGGAGAACTCACTTAGCATCCTCCAAAAACTCAATAGCAAGTGGAATGTTTCCTTGGTCTTTCGCCAACAAAGCTAATTCTACTGTTGCAAAAGGAATTATATAAGTATCTTCTCTAATTGATTTTTCTAAAGCAAGTGCACGAGTTAAACAATCCTCGGCAAATAAAGGACGTTTTAATTGGCGCAAACAGGCGCCCTTTAAAAGCAACAGAAGAGCTTCGTTGTCTCCGTGAAATTCAGTTTTTCTGAAAGAAAAATTTTTAGTTTACATTGGTATCTGATTACATTGATCAACAATGGTCAGAAGGACTCACGGGATATTCTTAAGTTCTCTCTCCGCTTCCTCGATTTGCTTGAATATGTTTAATGTTAAATCTTGTCGTTTGCCGATTGTTCGGAACAAATTCCACACGTACATTAGTTCGAATACAGGAAGAACTAGTTTATCTTTCTGAGCAAAATAACGTTCCGTCTTTTTAATAACGAACTTTTCCATTGGCAACGATTTGCCTGCTATGCGTTGCTTGAACGTAGGCGCTTGCATCATCAACACATCGATTAACTGTTTCTTCTCGCTTTGCGACGATGGCTTTTGCATGAGAAGTATTGCTGCCTTTTGATATAAATAAACAGTACGTGACCAATGTGATTCCTTAACTAAACAGTTGGCGAACGTAGCAGCCTCGTCCCATTGTTCCAGCGAACAATGCGCCCACATCAACTCCCAAAAACAAAGGTGATGAAACTGAGGCCATAAATCTTGACTCTTCCACGATCTCGTATACCATTCTATTGCAGTTTCAAAATTTCCTCTTATCAGTTCTAATCTGCCCTTGAAAAACAAAAACCATACACCGTTTGGATAAAGACTTAACTCCTCTTCCAACGCTTTTTCACACCAGTCTAGATCACCATCTGTATTACTTAGGAAAATAGATACTAGTAAATTGTAAGATAAGAGAATCATTGCGCACAACACGTGCCGTAATCCTCTTCTTTCCCTATATCCTGCGTCCAACTCCGATAAACCATATTCCTATTGATAGAAGAGATATATCAGATTATTGTTACACAAGTCTTTAAATGGAAGCTCTTATATATTTATTACCTTATCGCCAGAGAAGCCTATGAACTCTAATAGTTTGATAATTCTTGCCGGTAACAATGAGATCATCTAAAAAAATATCAAGAAGCTGTTACGGTTGTTGTACTACGTGATGTTATCCAACAGAGATAACGGTATGTACCAAATTAAACGCTCCGATTCCTGTGCGAACACCGCTTTCAAAATGAACTTTGTGAACATCGTTTTCCCATTTGCGATTATTCAAAATTGTTAGACATTCCCTAGAAACAAATAACATGCATAGAACAAGTTGAAAATTTGTTCGTTAAAGAAATTTAGATGAATAACTAGAGATATGGTTCATTTACTTATATGACAGAAAGCAGGCACGAATTTTCAATCCAGCTTTGACAAAGCTGACCAAAGTTTCGTCCTCCACAAACGTGAGCATCGACTTTAAAAGGAGTGACTCGGCATAACATAGTTCCGCATGCACTTCCTCTGTAATATTAAGTCTTCATCATTCCCTCATGCTTCAAGCCTTTGGCCTGCTTGTACAATCAAGATTATACAATACATTGTCATATAAATTAGTATTTTGTTATCATTGCATTTCGATAACCATCGGATTTTATAAATTGTTTCTGCTTTAATGACCTGGATTTAAATCTTATTTGGATTTGTATTTGGCCTACTGAAATCTATAAGTACAATCTATTAGTTATCGAAACGCAAAATTAGTAATATATAATGCTATTATTAGATGAAGATCATTTTGTTATATAGTTATAAATATTGTGGTAATAAAACACTAGACAAGCTTTTATGAACAGGTCGTACAACAAGTAGTATGTAATAAGATGGAATAGATAGTGGTAGATAAGATATTATTTCATACGTAAACTATTCAGCAATGGAATCCTACATGCTTTTGAGAATACACAAATCAACTGCTCATGCGTGTTATTCATGAAACAATCTAAAGCTCTATTAAACATACTGTATCATATTAAGAGCTGTATGCTTACCAATTGTGTAGACATCATAATTAGTTTTCTTGACCATTTTTCCAATATTTTGAGTCAATGTAACGTGTTTGCGTTGCTTTGAGCAAAGACTCATGCACTGTTTTACTGCTGCAGCTGCTTTTGCAACATATTCCTAAGCAATACATATTATAATATATTACTGAACAAATACTTTCCATATATTACAGTGTATCGTAAATGCAATACTTGTTCAAATGTTAAAATTGCCTCAAGAAAAGCAAAAACACTTGTTCCTAGCGAATGATATATACTACTAGCTGCCCATGGCTCCATAATTTTTTTTGCTTTGTCAAAATCATTGTTAAAAAAACAATTAATTGCTTTCTTTGCTTCCATTATCGCTGTATCCAAATCCATGGAAGTAGGCCTGGAAATAAAACAGAAATAATTTGGCATGTAATAAAATATGTGCATACACTGAATTACACAAGTGACAACTGTATACTTACTCTGGTATGGTTTCCTGGGCATCTTGGAACTAAAATATAAATTAAATTAATATTTAATACAATTATAAACAATGTAAATATTATCATTTTTATACTTATACCTCATCTTCTTCAATGTCTGACATCTTGGATGAATGTTTATATATGCTTAAAAAAGAAAATATATATCATATCAAATAATCAAAAAGATATCATACATGATAATAGTTATCTATATGATTTAAAAATTCTATAATTTAATCCTTTTATCTGCAGAAATGTTAATCATTGTGGGTGAAAGCTATACTTCTACACAGATTTCTCAAGTGTGCTCCTTCAATTTTAGGTCATTTCTTTTCCAATCCCACAATGGGAACACACTTCATTCTAGGCTTTTAACATTTCATCAATTGATGCACTTCCATTTATTGTATCTATAATAAACTGTATTTAGATAAAAATATAGTGACAAAGGTCAAAGATTATTAACTAGTGATAAATGTGATATGATAAGCTCAAGTATGCTTCCACTGATAATGAATATAAAGGATGAAGAAGTATAACTGCACCCAACTGTTCAATATACTTGGATAATTTCAAAACATAATTTTATTTTTAATTCATACATATTAAACTTTATGAACACAATGACTTAATTTATGTAAATAACAAAAACAAACGATTGCCACGTGAGCTACTACCCTTCTATACGTGAATAATATGCAATGTTTACTTGTTATTTACATAGTAAATAAGAAAATTGTGTACGTATTGTACATTAACTTTTAATTCTTGTGATTATTACGAAAAATGTGTCGATTGTTCGTCGAATACAATCAATATACACATCCATACGAAACAAAACAGAAACAAAATACATGTACAGTTATGATCTGGAAATCGAAGACGTGAGTGATAAAAGGAATTTTAAAGTACATAATCTGAAGTAGTGTCCCGAAGAAAGCATAATCGAGTTATAAAGCAGCGATGTGATAGACCTAGATCCCGCGAGTCTATTATAAAATGTAGTAGAAATTCAAATTCAATTAAACTATCGATTAATTCGATGACAACTGTTTATAAACGAACGCAATGCAGAATCTTCGATACTTTTGTGGCACCAATTAAGAAGCAGTTGTTTTAATGAAATAACTTACCATCAATCCGTTAAACGTCAAATGTCAGGCGAATCGAACCGAACCACGCAAAAATTGGAAAGGCTAACGCACAGAGTACTTTTACAACGATGAAACTCTGGCCTTTTTTCGAAACTATTTTCTAGTCCGCATGCGCACTCAAGTGATACTACAGTGAACGTGGCTTCTATAGAAAATCGTGGTATCGATATCTAAACAGGAACAATATTTCAAAAGAAGCTAACATATAGCCTTATGGTCGCTTTTGATTCAACGAACTTTTATACTTATTGTTAAAGATCTTTATGAAATTCACTTGTTGTTTATCGAATCAAAAATGTATATATGTATATGTGGTGGCATGTATTATGGTGCTAAATAACAGAGAAAGAATAATTTGGAAACGTTGCTTACACACATGACAGCGTGGGACGTGCGCGGCCGACTGACGGTGAACCGATTATGTGGTTATCATCGTACTTATGTACAATCCCACTTCGACTACCTAAATGTTATGAACTTCGTATGATTAGAGTGGGATGGGCAATTGCCTTCAATGTACACGTGACACCGTCTTCGCGCACAACAGTGATGCTCAACATTGCTGTGTAACATCTGACGCATCAATCAGATCTTGCCGTACTTGCAAATCATTTTAAAACAACTAGAAAAGTCTTACTATTTGATAAATACAATTAGATGGAGTACTTTTATCTCTTTAATAACTGAATTTTTAGCAATTTATTATAATCACTTAAATTTGAGATTAAAACAATGTATCGACGATGATCAAAGTCCAAAAACATATTGTATCTGTGTGTATCTCTCATAATTATGTAAATTATTGGATTGTACATCTTGCTTTACTGGTACAATATACCACACTATGTGATATGGCATACTTCAATTGAAACAACGTTCAAGTAAAAGACCCTTATTCTTTCTGCCATTATAAATAGAAATGATTAAATATACCGATGCCAGGAATAACAATAAATTAACAAATAATGAGCGTCACTGTTAGCGCTCACGTGTTATGTATGTACATACACATACTTTTCACATTTTTGTACGGGTTCTCAACTTGAAAAATTGTACAATTGTAGAATGTTTCGCAATTCCATCATTTGTTTATATTCTTCAAGATAAATTATGCTTTATTCAAGCTAACCTATAGGTGAAAATAACTTTAGAACGTAAAACATATTTTGTGGTATGTATATTGACTCATTAAACGAATCTGTTTGTGTAATAGAAAACCTTTGTGCTCTAAGTAAACAGAATTATTACGAGGTACTGTTCAGGGTAGTCTTGTTTTTATGTTGTAAATGCCTAATCACATTTGCATATACAAAGTTGAATTGCACAGAAGTATCTTGTGACATAATTAATGAAACAAAAATATCACTGAATCTATATTTTACGGTGGAACACATAAGTATTAATTGTATTTTTCGAATATTAGATAAAGAAACTTGCTTTGTACATATTCTTTTTTTTGGAACGGAACAAAAGTGAAACTTAATCTTGTTGGTTGAATTTTTCTTACATTCGCGGGAAAGCATACAAAAAAATCACAAAATATAATATAAATATAAATCACAATACAAATGTACACTGTTAGAACAACATTCTCGACACAATATAAAAGGCCTATCTTTTTTATATCAAAATTGTTGTATTTCTACAATTTGAATAATCAGAGAAGCACGGAACTCGAGAATTAATATTTCCCTAAATTTGCGCGCATCGTAATAAGCAACAATGTACAACAGCTTTCAAAGTGTAATTTAGGTATGCAGATTATGGCACGTACACGATGTAAATTTAATCTAGCCATTCCTTCGGTGGCAGCACCAGTAAATAGCTTGTCATACGTCAAAAACAGTGAACGTTTACCACAGAAGGTTTAGCCGTTGCGTATTACATGTAGATTCGGTAAATTTAGAAGCCAATCGTCTTTTAATCGCATACTCACGTTGCATGATCATTTCCTTAAAAAATCTTCACTGTCCCGGACGCGCTACGGGGACAGAAACTAGTTGTCTCATATGTGCAGTAATTCATAATCCTGAAAGCTGTAGAACGATTTAAATACTTCTGTAACTTCCTCAACGTTCACGTAATTACACAATTACGTAAATATTTTCGTCCATTAGAATATTATACTCCTGTTTTCTTTCTGTTTATTGTGATCCAGCTACTTAGTCTTATGACGTGTAACATAACCTACTTATAACAAACGATAGCAAGGTCTACAAGTACGCGTAGTATTACCTTCTTTAACAGTTATTTTCGAGTATCTTTTTACCGCGAAGTTGATGGTACACGTTTAGGTTCAATCGTCGTTCGCTTTTCGTTGAAAAGGTACCGTAATCTAAAATCACTATATGTATACTTCCTTATGTAAATATTTGGAATTGCTGGCTCTTTTACCAATGATGACTGCAAAGACAATTAATGTTGTAAGTTTACCTTTATCTATTGCAAAGCAATATGAGTCAGAAGAGCAACCCAGTTATGTAATTTTACTGATGCCCATTATTTCAATAGCTTGTTTTATATTGCAATATAATCTGTATAATCTCATATATTGAAAATGCAAAAACATATCAGGCGATAGATTATTTATTCATGATATCAGTGTCAATAATGTCTATTTCTTTTTCAGTGAACGTTCATAAGGGAATGAGGAACTTGTATCGCTTCTTTAATTATCTTGGAAAAGTGGCAGGTGCCAGTTAACATAATTTCTAATAATTATGGAAAATCAAAGTCATCATGGCCAAACTTACCAGACTCATCAGTCTTTCTGGAAGAAGAGTACTCATGCTGTACCAGGCAGGTGTGTGTAACATTACTTTATTATTAGAGATGGGATCAGGTTCAATAAGTTTTATTTCATGAGTTTCAAATGCCATCGCAAAACAGTAGGAGTTCACACAATTGCAGGCGATACAAAATTATAGCTAGAAAGATATTTAATACTTTCTGATACAAATACCTTGAGAATAAATGATTAAAACAATATCAATGACTTCATAATATTTTGTAAAATGTTATCTTGTAATCCAAGTATTTGGAACTATTTAGTCAGATTCAAGCCTATTTGTAACGCGCTTTATCCCATCTCTAATTATCATGAGATTCAGGAGAATATTCCCAGTGCAGTTATGTATTTATACATATGTTAAATGCATATAAAAAGACCAAGTCCAAAACAAGATGGTAAGCATGGTAAAATGGGTGCTACAACACTCATGTCTGGTAGTTCAACGAACGCAGTGTCCACGAGTGGAGGTATGTCGAGCAGTAGCGGTGGATCCACGTCTTTTCAAGACTTTCAAGAAAGTATCGACGATGCTTGGGATTCGGGAGACGATGAATTCTGCACAGTTTCCGATGTAAAGATATCGAAGCGGGTCAGTCAATCGGCTGCGATCAGTGTCATTAATAGTCATCGGTCGAGAAAATCCTGCTTAGACTCTGGGACAAATTCGAAGCAGTCTCAACGAGTCCAAGAGATCATACCCGAAGAGAAAAAGACCGAAGCTCTCCAACGATTAGCCGTTCAACCTTTGCACTTGCGGAATGCCAATTTGTCTATGAATTTGCAAATGAACAACACTCAACATTCCACAGACGACACAGACATAAAATACGGCATTTCCCCACAGCACAGACCAACACTCCCAGGCAGGCCTCAGCCATTAAGGCAAACAAATGCCCCTACCAAATTTTTTATACCTTCTAAGGAACAAGGTGCATATAAAATCATTTCTTTTGCTATGTCTCTCTCTTTCACTTTATCCTTAATTTTAATTTATTGATACTTGCAGATGGTGAAAGTAAAGTAGATAAATTTCAATCTCTCTTGGAAGCTTCTGTATTAAACTTAGATGAATTAAGGCAGCTATCTTGGTCAGGTGTGCCTGCAAGATTACGTTCTGTCACATGGAGGTTGTTGTCTGTAAGTAAGAAAGGTAAACCGATACCTTATTTTCTTGATGTTCATGAAGATATCATCACGAACGTAAAACTGATGTGCTTTTGTCGATGTAGGAGTATTTGCCAGCTAATATAGAACGGAGGCAAAGCGTATTAGAACGTAAACGACTCGATTACTGGAATTTAGTGAAACAGTATTATGATACTGAACGAGATGAAGGATTCCAAGATACATATCGTCAGATTCACATTGACATTCCGAGAATGTCTCCCCTTATTTCGTTATTTCAGCAATCAACGGTACAATTAATCTTTGAAAGAATACTCTATATATGGGCCATTCGTCATCCTGCTTCTGGATATGTCCAAGTGTGTAAAAAACATCATTCTAAGAATAATGTGAATAGATGAGATTTTAACCATTTGTTTTCGTAGGGGATGAATGATCTAGTGACACCTTTCTTTCTGGTATTTTTGCAAGAAGCTGTTCCGGTGTCCGCATGGCAAGACTTAGAAAATTACGATGTTGCTTCGTTACAGAAAGAGCAGAGGGACATTATAGAGGCAGATAGCTTTTGGTGCTTGTCCAAATTTCTCGACGGTATACAAGATAACTATATCTTTGCTCAATTAGGCATTCAGCACAAAGTGATCCAGCTGAAGGAGCTTATACAGAGAATAGACGGTACGAGCCTGTTATGTAAACTCCTCAGCGATGAAGGACGCGCCTCTTTATTACACGCATATGGAGTTAACAGCCGCAAATACAAATAAACATAACATAAAAGTCGACAGATAAGATAGGCGCAAAAGAAGACAATCCAAATGTGGCCGTCGCTGAGGGGTTGAATACGAGCATCGCTTTCATCCTGTTTGCTTTACAATCTCGTGTTCTTTCAGCGCCGTTGCATCAGCATCTTCATAAACACGGTGTAGATTATTTGCAGTTCTCGTTTCGGTGGATGAATAATTTGCTAACCAGGGAAATCCCTCTTCATTGCACGATCCGTCTGTGGGACACTTATCTGGCGGAATCCGACAGATTCGCTTCGTTTCAGTTGTACGTCTGTGCTGCGTTTCTTCTTCGTTGGAGGCGACATCTGCTTTTGCAACCTGACTTTCAAGTGAGCATGATGGAAACTAGTGCAGCATTCATTAAAATAGGAACCGCATAAATATTTCTCTATTCTTGTCATAGCACTAGAAATATGGTAGAGGTATTTAGAAGGACCCTAACGTTGCTTTTGTCTAGGGACTGATGTTAATGCTACAAAACCTGCCTACTCAAAATTGGACAGACTCAGAGATAGGTGTATTGGTTGCAGAAGCGTATAAGTTGAAATTCACGTTTGCCGATGCCCCAAATCATCTGCAAGCACATGATACCAGGTGACCATTTTGCAACGCGTCCAGATAACGGTATCGCAATAGTGGCCAAATGACTTTGGCACAAACGATTTTGTGCTAAGTTGTTCCTCCTGTGTTAACGGTCGTCATGTATGTTATACAATTACATGGTCCACGACCACCTTCGATTGTTCTAAACCCGATCATTTTTGTATCACACTCTCTCTTTGGTCAGAGATCGCTCTGACGTATTTTCGTTACGTTTTGCGGCGATTCTACCAGTCTTTATAAATATTATTATTATTTTTACTTCTCTTTTTTTTTAAATGGAAAATAGAATTATTAATAGACATTTTACCGCCGTCTTTCGGCTTGCCAAAGACGTACGGGCAAGCTCTGATACTTTGAAATGCAACGTGAATCGATTGCCGTAAACGATTCGCGTTAGGTTTGTATAGTATGTTTCGAATTATTATACACAGATAATATATGTATGTGTATAAATATATATATACATACACATATATACAAAAGTGAAAAAGGTTTTATAAATCAAATGCGACTACGTGATTGTTCTTTTATGCGAACTGTATACAAAAATCCGGCATGTACTCTAGCGATAAGTTTCTCTTTCCCAGTATGAACATCTTTTCATCATAATTCTATATCTTCACGCTGCTATCACACTGTTACTTTTCCGCTTCGTATAAGTATAATATTTACCATACATAAGGGTAGCGTTTTCGTTTGAATCCTGGTATTTTAGACTTTTGGAAGGCGTGGAAATCGCATTGTTCGGAAACTGGAATCTCGCGTCGAAACCTTGACGCAATGTTTTGCCATGCTTACGCATTGCCATAGTGTATAGCGAGGAAGAAGGTTCTAAATACCTTCGAGAATATCTGTATGTTAAATATTCTTAGTTATTTCGTAGCCGTCTCGCTGTATGGTCGCGAGACATGATATTTTATTCGTTGTTAAAAAGAACGGAAGTATACCTGTCGATGATTAACGTTTCGGGGAAGGACCAATTAAATGCTGTATAAATACAGAAAAGAAATGAAAAATGCGACATGCGTATATATCAACGTAGTTGATATATATACCGCGCATTGTTACTTTGCTTTTCGGATAAAAATTCTTTCAGGCAAATGTTTCATTTTCATTTGTCGACTTGAATTATTTCATCGAAAATTTGTACAATATCGAAAGGAAAAGAACGAGAGGCTGCGTAGCATCGTTAACTAATAAAAAGAGACTGGTTCTATCTTACCCACACGTGTACATCGTACTTGTCTCGGATCATTTCTAAATAAAACTCTAACAGGATACTATTTTACAAGTATGTAATATTAACTACATCAAAAACTTACAACATACGGCACATAATCTACGTTATCGATGCGACACTGCTTAAAGATATGTCTCTCAAATACTTATCATCGAAAGGTGAGTGCTCCGTTCCCGTTGATACACATCCTTCGGTATAGCATGTCAAATAAATAAAAAAAAAAACACGTGTGACGGCGATTTATAATCTAATCTGTACTTTCGTTAACACCTCAGTTGTCGTCGATGTCGATCTGCCCGTAATCAATGCTCAATGGCTGCAACGATGTCAGCGAATCATTAAATGCATCCTGCATCAAAGAAGAGTCATTGACAGATAGCATCACCGAACTTAAAACGATCCTCGACAAATTCTCTGACATTCAAATAAATTTTATGTAATTATTTCAAGACTTACGTAATCCACTGTGACCGGAGTAGGATAAATGCAGGGTATGCACTCCATTCGAGTGATCCCACTGTTCTCCGCAGTGCATTCGCAGTTCTGGCAGGGATTTGGCAGCGCGGTCAGGGCCACCCTCTTTGAGAATACGCTGACAAACTTCTTGATCGATGTTAGTTTGTCAAATCGCAGCTTGTCGCCGCTGAATATGGTCCCGTTATTCTCCAAGGACAACGGGGTACAGTATCCCAGGGCGCTCTTCGAGAGCTTCACCTGCCTTCTGAGGTCAGCATCGCCGATCAGCGTTCTGGAGTCCTTCTTGGTATACGACTTGGTTGCGTCCAGTCCATAGAATATCTTGTTCAGCCTCTCCTTCTCGAACTCGAAGTCACCGTCCATCAGAATATGAAGAGTGACGTCGTGCTCGAGCAGGGCCTCGTGGAGCACCGTATAATCCAGCTAAAATTGTTCCTCGTTAACGACGAATATACTAGAAAAGGATCGTAAGGACTACCGTGTTACCGTTTGGTTTTCCGGTTCGCAGTGTGAGCAAGGCATCAGAATGAACGTCTTCGAGACGCCGGCCCTGAAGACAAGCTTCGTGGCGAACACTATGGCCGCGAAGACGTCGCGACTGCCGGCACCAACCGGAACATGATCGAAGTAGTTGACGAATCGTGCCGCGTTCTTCGTGAAGATCTGTCCGTCGAGGACGACGCTCCTCGGCTTGTCGAAGACGCCGTTCGCACCGAAGACAACCAGGGACCAGCGGGTGTCCTCCAGACCATGCTCCTTGAACTCTTTGCTCAGCTGTGTGACCAGCTGCTCTATGCTGCGGTTCTGTTTAATATCCCGATTGCAATCCTTTCCTTCGACGATGAAGACAACATCGGTTGACATGGGCACGTTCTCGCCTTCGAGTTGCCTGAATTGACCCTCCGCCACTTGGCTACCATTCATCATCTTGCAGCTGGTGCACGCGTCGGGTATCCTCAGGAACGTGTTACGGTACATACAAGCCTGTATGTAGCTCAAGGCCACCGTACAAGCTTCCGGTTTGTTCGTGCTCAGGCTGCACAGCCTCGAGTACTCTTCAGGATCCACGACATCAAAACAGGATACGAACTCGGAGGATACGTTGACGAACAAGTCATCACAGAATAATGCAACGTCCCCGTCCTCTTGTTTCCTTGTCGAGGCTTGGTTCGGGCTGCTTCTGCAGACTTCGTCTTCATCGATCGACCAGCTGCTGGCGAAGGTCGCAAGGTCATATTGGATCACGCCATTTGAGGCGGTCGTGTCGTCCATGGGTTCGTTGTTCATCGAGCCGAGCAGCCCCGCGGTTTTCCCGTGGTACCAACCCGACAGTTCTAAGGTGCACAGGTCGAACTTCAAGTTGCACTCTAGACGCAGCTGGTTCTGCTTTCGCTCCACCGTGATGATGTTCTCAGCCTGGTACACGTACATGGTCCCGTTCTCCAGCTCGATGGGAAGCTCGAGATTGGTCAACGTGGTTGGCGAATGTTTGGAGATTATCTGTATGGTCTGAAAGAAAAAATGAATCGTCAGGTTTTTTGGAGAAATCAGGTCTGGGTTAGATACTAACGTCGGCGAAGATGTCTAGCTCGATAGCGTCATTCCCGATGAGGATAATAATCTTGTGCGTAACCCGGTTGGGCTGGTGCAGGTCGTACTTTATGAGAATGGTAAATGTGTCGTGAATAAAGTCGCGGGCTAACAAGTACGTGCAAGGTCCGACGAAATCCAGGTGTCGGCCGTCGAAGGTGACGAGATGCTGCGAGCCGATGATCATTGCCGTTGCTGAAATGATCAGCGTTAAATAGAATCAATTGTTTGTTGAGATAGACACTAGGCACTTAAAGAAGACTAAATGTTACCTCTAAAAGGAGGCAGCCAATTGAGAGGTTCCATGTATGACTTGTACCGGTAAAGGCTCCAGAAGGTCACGTTGGAGGACACGAAGTATGACCTCATGTCGGAGATGGCTCTGAACTCTGGGATCTCGTGGAACTCCGGAGTCTTATCGAACGCGTGCCAGGACATGGGCAGCTTCTGCTCGAGACACATAAGTCCCTGGTTCGGGTCGAATATGAATTTGGTCTTGGCTTCTCGATACTGGCTCTCGGATTGCAGAGCCGACTGGCTGATGTCCATGAGCTTTGCATGGATTAGCCGAATGACGTTCTCCAGTTTCGCTCGTATCTCCAAATAGTCGTAAAAATAGTACGCTCTGTCGTAAACCTGCTGCATTTTCTCCATGGCGTAGTGGATAGAGGGTAGCTTTTGCAGCTCCTTCAGCTCAGTGATGATCTCGTCGATAACGTCCTTGAGCTCCTTGCCGAACGGGACGAACGTGAAGTACCTGTCCTTCAGGAATTGCATCACCAGACCGGTGTACTTCTGTATGTTAGTCACGATGTCGTTGGCCTTGATGTCCCGGTAGACTTTGTCTATGTCCTGGGTGAAGTTGGTGAACCGATCAAAATAGGGGGACGAGATCAGATCGTTTCGACGGTCGTATAGAAAGTCGACAACTTCTTTGCTCGCCTTCCACGCCATTGTCTCGAGATAATGTATTGCGCGGATGAAGACAGGCTCGACAAGTAGCAGGACCCGATTCCACTGCTGAGAAATCGTCTGCGAGATGTTGCCCCAAAGGTTCTCCATGTACTTGATGAAGGAGACATGCAAATCCTTTATGAACTTGTCGTACTTCTCGATCAGTTTCTCGATGATGTTTGCTACTTGGGTGATCGAATCGCCCCTCAGGATAGCTGCGATGATTTCCGAGACCTTGTTGAACGCGTTCTTCACGGCGTCGATCACCCACAGCAGCGAGTGCCTGATCGCCTCGCCCGATTCGCCCATTATCGCCCATATCTCATTAAGAATGTTCGGCAGAGACTCGATGTGATGTCGCAGGGAAAGTTCGTCGACTACGTATAAGCCAACCGTGACAATGTCCTTGATGTAAAAATCATTCGCATTGTACGAGTCGTTCAGGTAGATCTTCAGCTTGTCTAGGTCCTCTTGCAGCTCCTTCAAACTGCTGTAAAATCATCAAAAGTAGAAAAGAACTCTACTGTAGCATTTTAGGAAATGGGAATTCTGCTTACTTCCAGTCGTCGAGGAATTGCTGAAGATCGTCTTGCGCGTCGCTCCAAACGTCCGAGATCACATTCGCGGTCTCGCTCTTCACGTACTGTTTCCAATAGTCGATATCGTTGTTCATGCCATTGTACAAATCCATTGCCGAGTTTTTGATACCATTCTACGATAGAAATAGAGGATACCCGTTTCAAAGTTAAATCCAAAAAGTATACAAATATATAAAAATAACCGATTGAAATTTATATATACAATAATATCGCTCTTCAGTTCGGGTCTCCAGCGGAGAGTCGAAGTCACCAGTCTGGAGTGGTTCAATTTCAAGTAGAAGGACACGTCGGAGATCGAGTAGTCGTCCTGATAAGTTCTCCAGATGTTGAAGGACGCGTACCGAGCATCGGGAATCTTTCCGTACATCTGCAAGCTCTCCACGGCGTCTGTAAGAAAGTACTCTAATGAGATGAAGATTCATAGTCTACCGATGATCGAACGTACCGGGAGTATAATTCACCATCATCTTGATCAGCTTCTCGTCAGAATCGAAAAAGAAGTCCCCTGTGGCATTAAGATTAGGCGTGTTTATCGCGCTGCCATTCGCAATAAATCTCTTTGTACCCGGAAAGACTCTAACGTTCAGATATTTTTTGGCGTCATTGTAGTCCCGTTGGAACAGCACCTCTTTCTGCACAAGGTCCAACCAGGCATTCAACTGCCCAGTCTCTGTGGTCATGTAGCTGCGCACGTAGCTACCATTGTTGGCAGTCTCGAACAAGATGTTCTGATGATTGAGAACGAATCCATGCAAGTTCAGGTCCAGCTTGGTGCTGAGATGTTTACCGATTATTTTATAGATATACTTCCTGGTGGAGGGTAGTTTGCTCATGTCCCGGATTAGTGCGGACACCGAAAACAATTTGTTCGGATCGTTGGAATAATCGGCGATGATCTCTGCGTTCAACAGATCCCTGGGGGTCTCTTTCATCAGTCTGCCCTTCACGATCACCGATTTCGGAAAGCTGGGATGCAGGAGGCCGACCGTAACTTGATATTGCGGAACAGGTATGTAACTCTGGGTCGAGTTCGCCCAGTTGAACAGGGCGCCGATGTTTCTGGGCTGCTCTGTTTCCTGATCCCAATCGAGGTGCACAAAGGTCCTTATGTTGTCACTGCTGATCCAATAGGAGCCGTTCAGGACGAACTCCCTCTGCGGGTAGGACACGGTCACGATCATAATCTGATTGCCGATCTCCTCCGTGGTTCTGTTCTCGATGTCGATCTGATACGCTATCCAAACGTCTTCAGCTAGACTCAGCGAAGAGTTCTGTATGAACTCGCCCGGCAAAACTTGGTAATCAGTCTTCAGCTCCACGGTTCTGTTCGAATGGATCGCCTTCAGACGTATCTCCTGGCCGGTATGCGACGTTCTGATCCAAGACTCGCCGGCTACGTTGAATGCTGTCTTGTTATTCAGCTGGTAGATGTTCACACGCTTGTATTCGACCGTCGGGTAATTTGTACCCTCGTTCCCAGCGCTATACTCGTACTGGTTCAAGTAGACAATGCCGATCGGCTTTAGCGCGTTCTCGATCGAGATCTGAATCTGATCCGTCTCGAACCCGGCCCTTGACTCGCTCTTCGAGTTGTATCGGCCTTGCAACACCTTTTGCTTGTTGTATGTCATCTCCGAGTATCCGGTAGTTATCTGCGGTCGCTTCTGATAACCGTAGGTCAGGTGGCCCACGTGACGAGTCTGCAAGGGCACCTCCACGTGCACCACCCCGTCCAGATCGGAGTCTAATTTCTGACTGCGATACGTGTAATCAGAGTTCACGATGGCCGCGTTCTGCGGCCAGGACACCTTCATGTACCTCTTGTTTTGTTGCCTGAAACCGATTCAATCTCATTAAACACAATCCATGCTGAAAAGTCAACGGTTCACTTACAGAGTGGTGAACACTATGAATTGACATTCAATCTTCGTGGCGTTCGCCGTAGGTATAATAGCATTTAGGGTTCCGTTGACGTTCACCAGGCTCTCGTAGGACACGTTCGCCGAACCCAGGTGCGTGCTAGCTGGGAAGTACACGTCCGCGTTGATCATTCGTATCTCCGTGCCCGAGGTAGCGTCATAATTAAACAGGCACATTAGAGTCTCCTGCTGCTGGAACTTCGGGGTGTACAACGAGTACTTCATCTCGATTTGCTTGTTGTCGAAGGTGATGTTGAAGAGGTTGTTCACGGACTGGATGGGCAGCATTCCCCAGGACACGCGCAGGTGACCGTTGATGTCCCGCTTGTTCATGCGAATCTGCAATTTAAGAAACGAAGTCAACGATTCTGAAAAGCAAGAATGAGAAAATACAAGTCGGATAACAAACCGAGCAATCGGACGCGTAATTGGTCTTCGCCTTGACGGTGTTGTATCCGATCACGTAAGAGGTGTCCGCAAGCCCGTTGTTCGCATGGTAACTGATCAGGAATCGATGGTCGTCGCTGTACGGCGGGGGTAGTCTAGCGATGAACACCCCGTCGATATTCTCGAAGTTGCGGAACCCGATGGTAGCGTTCGCCGCGAACCTCCATCGGTCTCGATCGACGTCTACATCGAATCCTGCGTCGATGTTCCTGAACAACCGTGCCGGGTTTTTCATGTACAACCTAGCATCCAAGTCCTTGGTCCGATCTCCATTTTGGTAGCCGGCGAGGACTCTGCCGAACATGTCCACCATGAAGACCAGCTTCCACTGGAAACCCGCGTAAAAGCTGTCTCCGTTCAACCGATTGCGCACCGCGATATTTCCACTGTCGTTGACCAACAGCATATTCCCGTCGAAGGTGAGGTCCCTGATATCCGACAATGGGGTCTCAGCGTGAACGTACAGCGTGGTGTTCCCGTTCACCTGAACGTTTGCGAACGTGACGACTTGGTACTTCTCCACCTGGCCTAATGCCTTTAGTACATCAGCGTGCGCATTGAAGTCCCAATTGAACGTATTAATGAAATTCACGTTCAACGTCCCGTTCGTGTTCTGGCTCTCCAGGTTCAGCTTCAGGCCGTAGTTCTGCTTTTTCAGCTTCACGTGTATAACGTCGTCTCCGGATCTCGACTGCAGCTTCATGTCCATATCGAAGACATTCAAAGACTTGCCCTTCGGGAGGAACGTGGCCGACACCAAAGACGTCTTTTTCGACACAGAGTTTAACTCCCCGTCCAACTGGTACACGGTGCCGTTAATCCTCTTCAAGTCTCCGTGAAACGTCAGGTATGGCTTTGATTCTTTCGGCATGAAGAATTCAGATTCGACGGAACCGCCGCTGTAGTTCCCGGTCAGCTTATATGTTCTATCGTCCAGGTACCTCACGTACATCGTCACGTTCGCGGTGTCGTTGGTAGCAACGGCGTTCGTGTAGGTGACGTCCGCTTCGAGGCTCTTCAGCACCTGCAGCCATGTCCTCAACGCCACGGAAGCTCTTATCTGGTCCTCCGTCGCGTACCAGTCCGACTGGAAGGAGAACGACTTCGAGACCGGCTCGGCAATGTCCACGCTCACCCTGACGTATTTCTCCTTCGCCGTGAAGTCTCTCTTAGCGGTGATCGTGGACCTCGGAAGCTTCAGCATCGGCGTGTCGACTTCGGTAACGAGAACCGTGTGGATCATCGCCTCGTCGGTTTCCAGGATGCCGAGGACGTCGATCGCCGCGTTCGGCGCACGCATTGTCACCTTGGTTTTGCGGTAGTTCTCATCGGTCTCCAGGGTGGTGTTCGTCATGAGGAACTTGAGGAAGTCCAAGGGAGTCTTGACGTCCATCTGAAGGAACTGGACATTCGAGTCGTCGGTATCGCTCTCGCTGTACACGTAGAGGACAGTGACGCCGGATTCGTGCCAGGTCATGTTGCGTCGGACGTTCACGGCCAGCTGCATGGTGTAGCTAGGCTTCTCCATGTCCACGACGAAGGCGTTCACGCAGACGATCTCGTTGGCGAATGCGAACGGAATTACCACGTTCAACTCGTTCCTCAAATTGAACAGATCTTCTATGTAAAAGTTATCGTCCAGGAGGATCTTCTTGCCGAAACACTGCAGGTTTCCCACGATCTTGTACTGCGGTCCTTCGTGGTCGATGTCCAGCTCGGCTATCACGGGCTCGACGATGGCCAAGTCTAACCCAGCCTCACCGTGCCAGTAGAGAGTGTTGCTTTCATCCGTTGTGTCCAGGAGATCCTCTTCTTGTTCCGATTCCTGGGTCGTTGAGTTATCCGCGGCGCTTATCGGCGCCTTGATGGGTATGCTAACCGGTGGTGGTTTCGGACCAGCCTTCGCTCTGATGCCCAGTTTCACCTCCATCAACCTCACCGAGAACTCGGTGTCGATGTCCAACTTATCCTGTTCCGTGGTCACGGCGATCAGCTTCGCAACCACCCCGATCTGTTCGAGTCCTGGCACCGGCGTGAACAACAGATAGGTATAATGGAAGTCGGTGATGTTACCGTAGTGCCAGACGCCCTGGAACCCGACAGTCATGTTGTTGTACCCGACTCTGAAATCGGCCTTGTGGTTGTTCAGCTTGGCCACCAGCAACGCCCGTTGCAACAGCTCCAACGAGGTCGCCAGCGACAGCTTCACGTTGCAGTCGTACTCCGCCGTGAGGAACTGAACCAAAGCCTCCACTCCTATAGGTCCTGACGGTGTTACTACTTCGGCAACGACGTGTCTCTTGCTCTCCGAGAGGCCAAACCGGCCGCGGATGAACGCGAACTTTTCCAGGGGCGTGGTAATGTCGAATTGGACCATCGATTCTCGCAAACGACGCACGTCCCCGATTAATTTCGTCGTGTAGGTCCTTCTATCCAGGTCCAGGCTCGCCATTCCCAGAAACTTCCAGTCCGGTAGGATCTGCAGCTGACACTTCAGGTCCGTTTTCTTATAGTTGGTCACTGGAGACTCGAGGTGCAGGTTCCCGGTCAAGTTGAACACGTTATCAGATTCTTTGTCCAGGTACCAAATGCTCCATGCGTTGATCACCTTGTCCGGGTTGTATTTGATCAGCAGACGAGTGTCCGCGACTTGGGAATCCACGATCTTGTGGGTGATGTTCACGGTAGTCCAGGAAATTGAGTGAATTGAGCTGGTCACAGCACAGTTTGCTTGCCATTCTGTTATCTTCTCGTGCTCTGCCACGCTGCCGTCGAACTCTGCCATCAGCACCTGTGAGTCCTTCCAGTGCGTGCTGCCGCTTAACTTTAGTCCGTTTTGCTCCTGTAGATATCTGTAATTACAGTTACAATCATTCGAAACCATTGTGTTAAGCGTGTCTAAATCAGTAACAAAGTAAAAGATAATTACTTGGCGGTCAGAGCGGTTCTTCTCCAGTTCTCGAAGGGTGTGAGCAATTGGCCTTCGATCTTGATCAATCTACTCAACACCGTAGAATCGTACTCGGTAGCGATGTACAATCCAATGGTTTTATCCGGGTTCCAATCAACGGCAGCATCTACAATGTAGTTGTAGATTCCTCTGGCAACGATGCGACAGGAGCTACTGATGAAGCGGCCTGGATAAGTCAAAGTCAGTACGGTGCTCAGGTTCTTCTCTGGAAGTTGGTTTTCCGTCAGCGCCGGAACGAACGTTCTGTCGAAGTTGAACGACAAGGCCAGCTTTAATGCAGGGTCTCTGTTAGCATCCCACTTGATCTCTGCTCCGAAGCCCTTCGTGTTCTCCTCGTTCACGCCGGTCAAGGCCAGGTGGACGTCTCTCCACTTGTCCAAGTGCACCTCCATCCGGATCTCCTTCTGGGTGTCGACACTCGTCGTCACCGAGTACACATTGCTCTTGTACCTGTTGGACAATTTTGTTAAGCAACGCTGAAGAAGCGTGTAATTGCCGAGACCCGAGGATGCCGTACCTGCCCTCGATGTACGAGATGAAATTCGTTGGCGATCCCACCGCGTGGGTGAGTATGAACGCGTACTTGTCCCGGTCCACCTGTTCCACGAAAACGCTCACGTTCAGGTTGGAGTAGTTGCGGTACAGTTTGCAGTGCCAGAGAACGTCATTGGCAAACGTCGGCGACTTTAACATGAGCTTCAGAGTGTGACTGACCACGGACCCGAACGATTGGTCCGAATAAGTGCCGCGCGCGGTTATGTTGTACCCAGTGAACGAGGTCTCGCTGAAGTCGATCTCGTAGATTCGCTTCGACCTCTCCGTGATCCGCACATCCAACAGCATCGCTTTGAAATTCGGGATCGACAAGTTTGCGTGGCCCTCCATCACGAACATCAGACCCCGTGGCATTAGCAGATTCACGGTCAGGACGATTTCTTTTCCTAGAAGCGCCGAGTCAAACACGAATAAGAAGAGACAATAAAAAAAAAGAAGAGACGAAACATCGAGAGGAAGAGGTCGTCTAACCTGGAGCATATCCTATCAGCAAAGTAGTCCTCGATTCGGGTCCCATGGCATCGTGCTTGATGCCCAGCTTGATGTCCAGATTCTGTATGGGCTTTGTTATAGCGATTAGCGCGCTCATCTTGGTGTCCTGATTCTGGAAATACATCTTTGAGTAAGAAAGGATCAGCTGAGCCGTGAGCTTGTGGCGGTCGTCCATCAGGTGTGGCTTCGAGTTCACTTCAGCGTGCAATTCCAGGTGACCGAGAGCCTGCTGGTACCAGGCAGTGACTATAGTGTTTAATTGAGGATATGCCGTGGAGTGTAGCTTCATGTCGGCCGTCTTTTGCGTCAGAGTCTTTGAGGACCGGTTCACCAGGGATATTTCGAACTCCAGTGTCTCCTTCTTAGGCATCTTCTGCAGCTGATAGTCCAGCTTGAAGTCGCTAGCTAGGCTGGCGTTTCTTTTGACGACGTAGCCAACTAACTTGCTCCAGACCTTCTTCGTCCGGAAAGTCAGATCCACGTCGCATTGCAGAACATCGTTCTTCCAGGCATTCCTTATTGTCCCTTTATCGACCAAGACTCTTGTCAACGATTTGTAAATTCATTGCGATAGATTGATGCGTATAAATGTTACTATACCCGAAAGAGCCGCCACTCGTTCATTGTTGATGATCAAGTGCATCTCCGGGCTGTAGGTGTAGCCGTAGCTGAATTTCTTCGTCGCGTAGCCCAAGCTGGCGTCCAGGTGTTTCGTGCCGTTTATGTCGAAGCCTATGTCGATGAACGTCTCGTTCTCCGTGTTCTTGTAGGTGCCTGGAGGAAAAAGAAAGAAAGATCGTAAAAGATAAGCAGATGATAATTATGATATCCAACTACCTTTTGCAACTATAGAATTCCCGGCTGATCGCAACACAACGGTGACATAATCGGACTTCGTGTCGAAGTACATTGTTGCACTCAATTCTCTGTTCACCAGGGTCCCGGGCGTGTCGAATGCGACCCTGAAAATGTTCTGCTTCTACAAGAGGAATCAATATATTAATAATAATGCAAAGACATCGATTAAAAAGTGGAAAAAAACAATTGGGGTACCTGTGTTTGCTCCCACTTGTACTCCAACAAGTACTCCTCTGCTGAATAATCGGCCTTCATCAACGAAATCTTGAAGAGCGTCGGGCCGGCCAGGACGAAGTACGGCGCGTCTGGGTTCTTCGTCACGTTCGACAGCTGATAATCGACGCATAATGATAATCCTATAAGCTTGTCAAGGGCGGTCCAGGAACAACTGGTGTTTGCGATCACATTACTAGGAATCGTTCTCTTCAATTTGTCGTTCTGGCCAGCGATTAAAACGCCTAGCGGTGTTTCCTTGTATTTCTCGCCCTTGCCCGATGTCAAGAGAATGTCGGTTCCGACGGAGAGCACCTCCAACTTCTTGTTAGGCAAACGCAGATTCATTTGAACCAAGCGCAATCCTTTCACGTTCAAGTGAAACACAACTGCACTCGAAGAGTAGACGTTCGATCGCAACTTTACACCTGCGCTCGTGTAGAAGGCGTCCACAGCCATGCTGCCAATGACGTTCATGCTCACGCTGAAGAAAATCGAATTGTCAATAAGACCAAACACGATCGAGTCGCCTTTTAAAATATCAAATATCGACCGTACGGTCTGCAGTACCTCGGCTCGATCGTGCTGAAGAACTCGACCTCGTTGTTGGCGATCCTTTTACTATTGAGCAACCATGACATCGTAAAGTTGCATGCTGCAGACCCTGTGAAATCCAGCCGAACCGGCAGACCAGATGCCAGTGGCACCACATAAGTAGAATCTAAGAACATCGCCGCGTTCTCGAAATGGATCTCCTTCTTATTAGCCATTTGCTTGAACGTCTCCCAGGGGTTCAGCCGCAGCAAAGCTTCTCCGATCTCTTTGTCGCCGTTCAGGACCGAATAGTCCAGATCATTTCCAAACATCTAATAAAAATGAAACCAGAATTAAGCGTTTAGAATATATCGGATTCTGAAAGCTACTCGCATACTTTGTAGCTGATGCTGATTCTCGGGTTCTCGAAATCGTTGTCGATCACGTTCGGCAGCCGTTTCACGCGTTTCCAGTAGTCCTCCTGTTCCGGCGCCTCTCTGAAACTCCTCAGCAGAGTCTTGATGAATCCTGACACCTTGTCGCTATTGTACGGTCCATCCGGCCCGAAAAACTTCTCTGCGTAGTACTCGAGGCCTTCGAGCCTGGTCGTGAACTCGAACACGTTTACGGACTCGCCGAACAGGTCGAAGGTCAGGTTGAAGGTCGCCGAACGGGGTATGTAGGATTCTGGGGCAAAGATCAGGTTCCCTTGGTAGTTCGCACCCACGTTGTACTCCTCGGAGAAGAACGAGCCGTCGTAGTTGCGCGAGAACTTCCTCCTGTCGGTGTTGAACTTTTCTCCGAGGTCCCTGTCGGTCAGCAGACTCTGGATCTCGACGTTCGTCGGCGATGCGGAGTTGTAGAGGTTCGTCAAGTGGCTCCAGACGAAGGTTCCGACTGAAAATGCAAGAATAAGATACAGTGTTAAAACATGGTCTTGATCTTTTTTTTCGATAGAGACTCGAGGAAATACAGTTACCTTGGTTCACTTCCTCCATCTTCAAGGTGTGCTTGATGATCTTGATGACGTTGTAGTCGGGACAACGCATCACCTGGAGATAGGATGCAATACGGATTTCCGTGTTTAAGGTGAAGTTTCGATAATAGTCCAAGAAGAAGAGGTCGCGCGTCTTCTCGCAGGACGGCATCCTGCGATGAGCATCGACAGCAGCAACGCGCACTTCCTTCGGCACGAATCCGCTCGTGTCGTCTATGCATAGTTTTAGCCTCTCCTTCAAGGTCTCCGTTTCTAAACCCATATTCCCTATCGCCTTCAACGCTTTCATTGTCTAAAATAAAATATGCCAATCATCGATATCATGTTCGTATTAGAACTGGCAGAAAATGGGCCTAGCCAATTAAGATGATCAAAATTGCCTTTAGAGGTTTTTTAATGAGCCTTATACCGTTCGACAACCGACCAAGAAAAACACATCTGTGCAAAATTTCAACTCTGTAACTTGCCCGTGAGGGGGTAAGTTAATATTTAACTAGAATTATTAATATATTTAATTAAATATATTATTTGTATAGAGTTGAATTAATACATAGAAATATTTTATACTATTAATTTTAGAACTAGTAGAAAAAACACTAAATAATAAAAAAAATAAATTCCATAAATTTTGAACAATTTAAATGCTTAAAAATAGATTTTTTTAGAGAAAATATTTTAAAGATTATTTGTATAGAGTTGAATTAATATATAGATATATTTTATACTGTTAATTTTAGAACCCATTAACTTATTAACTTACTAACTTATTAATATACAATTTATATACGCCTCTCATCGTTCGGAGTTACTTCATGTAAAATTCAACAAAAACTAATATCATGCACAGAGAAAGAAATAACTTTGTAAATGCCTACTTTGGAAACCAAAAACTGAGTTGATACAAGAGTTTTCATTAGATATTAAACTTCTTTCACTTGAGTTTACAATAAGTAACATCGCATGTGTCAAATTGATGGTATAGACTGACGTGAGCTGAGGTGTTCGAAAGTTTGTTTGGCGCATCTGGCCTCGAAGGGTTCTTCTCCTGGTCGTTTCTTAGCTAAATGGATTACCTGACCCTATCAACGGAACTTGCCAGTACAGTTTATGCATCGTATAAACTATCACGTTTGCGAAATCAAATACTTGATTCGCTTACCTCCGTGATCGTTGAATCAGCATGCGGCCGAGGCTCGCAACCGATAATGATTTTTTGCTCCAGATGCGAGATGAACTTCGCCACAGGCTCGGCCTCGCTGCACAAGGTTCCATGGTTCGAACAGAAGGTGTGAATCGTTGCCGAAAAGCTAAGCATGAACTGACTTTCCGGGATGTGTCGCTGGAAGTACAGGTGCGACAGAGCTTTGATCGTTTTCAAATCCGGTCGCGGGATCAGGGCAAAAGCAGTCACCCAACTATCCACGGTACTCTGATCGACATAATTTTGCGTGATCAGATCGATCATCACATTCACGGCAGCGTTATTGCCGATAAATGGCAAAGCGTCGACGATGTACTTTCTGCAAAAGCGACGGAAACAATGTTGATAACAAAATCGGTTTTAAACCAGGTACGGAAAAGGAACGTACAGTAAAGCTTAAACAACGATTTAACAAGGGTGAGATTCGGTTTGTCCGCTGGTTAGTCACACTTTCGGTTAGGCAACTGAAAGTGTACCCTCATTGTTGTAAAATCGAAAGACCTTGAAACCCGTTACGGTCTCTTCCGAGTCTCGTTTCTTACAATAGCGACTCCACTGTCCAAGCATCCTTCAATAGATCATAAATCCATAAATGTCATTTTAAACTCACTTTCCAGCCTTGCAGTAGGTATTGGCCCTGTTGAACAATTGCGAGAGCGAGGGATAATCGTCGAACACCCGCTGAAAATGGATGAACGCTGCGAAAGTTTCGGAGAATTCTTGGTGCGGCTCATCGGAATCTACTCCCCATTTGCACATCGACTTTAGGAGATTCCTGGGTGATCTCAGTTTCCAGTTCGCCCTCTCGGTAGTTCCCATGTAATCGTAGATCAGGGTGGTTCTCTTGATGCGGTCGGGTTCCCTGACGTCATCGTCGTATTCGTTCTCGCTGCTCCTGCCGTAGTCGTTCGATTGCTCTTCTCTGATCTCTTTGACGAGTTTGAGCACGGCCGTCGATTCTGTCCTGGCACCTGTGGTCCCGCTGGAGAGCGGCTGCAACCGATGCACGTCTTTGCAGATGACCTCCTCGTAGACATTGTGATCGACGGTCAGCTCGCAGTCGCTGCGGGACTCCAAGAGGGGATGCCTCGAGGGATCGGACCTTGGACTTCTAAAAATTTAACATGCATCGAGTCAAGCCGAAAATCATTGCAATATAAATATATAAAATATATAAAATCATTGCATCTCTACCTGTAGACGTTCGACTGAATAACAGAGAAGTGTTTCGCGCCGTAAGTGCAGCTCGACAGGTTCTTCGATTTCTTAACAACGAGACTAGTGTGTCTGGCCTCGTACAGACGGTAGGAAGTCTCGCAAATCCCATTCACGTCCAGCTCTTCCACGCGATGATCGACGTCGAACCTAAGCATGTTGTTCTGCAGCATCGACAGGACACCCCTCTTCAAGTTCAACGCCCACGCGGGTTCCCCTTCATGAGGGCACAGCTCATTGACCTTTCCGTCGTCGAACGAGAACCTCAGGTTGTACTGAGCCAGGTTCTTGTTGAACTCGGTATCCGCGACGCTGGTTCCGGGCTCGTGTCCCAGCTTCGCGTCGTAAAACTTCAGATTGCCCTCGCAGGGGCTCGTGAACCGCACTACCACGTACGCATCCAGGTGCAAGGTCGATTCGTTCTTCGATTCTTCTTCGCCGCCTAAGTTCGTGCTCACGTTCACCGAATACCTGTACTTGTACAGCACGCCCTCCTCGTACTTGAACTTCCTGTGTGCCGGCACTGTGAACACGCATCGCGCCATAATTAATCCGTCATTAACAAGCTGTTGGAAAGTTATAAAAGACGCCGAAGGGGTGAACTTTGACACTAGAACTATCCTAAATGTGACTAATGTGTATTTTGTCCTATCAATGATAAGATCGAATCTGTGTGTACACACTTCGTACTATTTCTATTTTTGATCTGTGCTTGTACAAAGAAAATTATCAAATAAATTTCTCACAGAAATTATATTTCTAATTTCAGTAATCGTAAAATAATAATTCAAAAACGAACAAGTCATTTTGACCTGTCCGGTAGTTCGAGCGTTAAACAATTATAAGTGGACGGCGGATGTGCTGCATTTATGGCAAAAATAACTGGTCGAAACGCAAAATAATGACAGTATCAGAAGATATTACAAATTCGATTGTATTATTTATAAAGTACTAAAATTCTTGCAAAAAAATATTGATGTTCAATATTAAGTTCAATAAAACAGTTCCTGCTTCTTGCAATCGATGCACGAAATTTTTATTTCGCGTAAAGATCCATGGTCTAATTATAATTGAGTATGAGATAAAAACAATTCATGGTAGAACAAAACGAAAAGAAGTACAAAGGTCCGATTTCTTACCCTTGCATATTGTTCGGCCGCAGGACGTCGGGTCCTTGCTGAATTCTGTAACGAGATAAGCGATTTTGCATCAGGAGAAGAGAAGAATGGCAGCTTCCGAGAAATCGGCATTATGAATGGACATTATGCGTCACCGATAGAGAGGCCGATATGCTGCATCGAAATTGTGCTCTCGATGCAGATTCTCGGAAAGGAGCGTCGAATAACACGCGCGAGAGATAAGCGAGAACCAAGTGAGCTGAATGTTGAAAATTCGACCGATAATAACTTCGTTGGTAGAGTGACCACAAGGGACCATGTTTCACGAAAATCATGAATAACGCAGCGGCGCTTACCTGACTGCACCGTGCCGATCGCTATGTAGATCGCGGCGAGAAAGATCGCCGCGCGTTTCCACGATCCTCCATCCATCTTGTCTCTTCCTGTGATCACCAGGGTCAAGGTTGTTGCTTCTGACTCGATGCACTCTTCATCCCCTCGTACACGTTGCCACCCTTCTATTCCATAACGCTGCAACGCAGAAGAATATCTTTCCTTGTTCTCGCACCCGCGCGCGCGACAATTTCTCTCTTCGACTCGACCTGTTAATCGAGCGATTCTTCGATCGCGTACAAGGATGTCAACGCAATTGACACCAGAGGAAATGAGAGGACGTCGTTCTAACAAGACTTCTTTGCGCCAAACGCGTGTGCTATCGTGCGATCTCGTTACGGCGGGACCAATTCGATTAAATCAGATCTGCTTTGTCCACATTATTATTTCTCTGGTATCGTTTCGATCGATTAAGGATGGTTTCGAATTTCAGGAAAAAATCTCAGACCTTTTTAAAACGACGGCAAAGTGATGTAGTAGGAAATATGAAGAAACCACTGCTGGGATAGCTAGCAAAGCGATCGGAATCCTTCTCGATCAACGGGTCGAAACGATAGCGAAGTCACTAATACCGAAACACCACGCGACAAGACCTTCTTGCGCACAGATGCACACAACGATGGAATAAAAAGGGTGAACGTGGCAAGAAAATGATACCGATCACGAGGTGCGATCGTCGGAGTGGTTCGTACCGTCTGCACAGTGTCCGCAAAAATGCTGTCCGAGCGGAAAGATCGAACTGGCGGCCGGAACGATTGGGGTGCGAAACAGAAGCGAAACTGGCCCTCTCGGATGGGAAGCGGCCTGTGTACGCGGTGTATCCGTTTAAGTAAGTGCTTCCTGCCGTGACCGAGCTCGCCGACCGAATGGATAACGACACCGAATCAACCGGGAGCACTCCTCTCTGAAAGGGGAAGAGGATCGGTGGTGCCAAAGGTCTCGTTGCTTTTCGTGTTTGCGCGGGGTCACGGGTCGTCCGCCGATAAGATAAGCGCGAAAACGACACTTCCCTGGCGATCGCCGATTCTTACGCTATGTTCGAGCAACACATTTATTACTGCGCAGCCGGCCATGGACCAATTAATTGCCAAATTACTGTTGCGATGTTCGATTTCTATCTAGAGATCCTGTGGGCTGCTGGATATTTGCAAGACTACGTTACTTGCTCGTTACATGCATCTCTTACACCCAACCGTATTAGTCCAGATAATAAAATATCCGTATAGTGAAACATTCGGATATTTGGTGTTGAGGAGATATTTACAGTATTAGCATAATAGATATAGGATGTGTTGATAATGCAGCGATTCTGCATATTCTTACATTCATTTGTTCGTCACTAGAAAAATAACAAAACTGCATTCATTCGAGGCTTGCGAAAGCCTCATTACAAATTCGAAGCGATTTAATAGCCACTTTGCAGCTGTTCTCTTTTTGTGCTGAAGGAATATAAGAATTTAATGGTTGAAAATTTTTTTAAAGATTTCTGTTAGACACGATGCGATTCATAGTAGAATAAATCGTAACGTATAGCAACCGGTTCAACAGCACAGTGAAACGGTATTGCATGGGGTCAATTACACTGCGATGCATAAATATTGCAGCACCAAGGGAAGACGAATTAACCTGTTGATTGGGGAAGACGAGCCAACTCATGATTCGAATCATTCATTCATCTGCGTCTACCGACCGACTCCTTTTTATTGTCGATTGTTCTTTTGCCTTCCCCTGCTCCTTTCTCTCGGAACCAATTACTAATCTTCATTGTACATATAGACGAGATCCGGCTTGGCAGAGCAATTCAGGCATGCACGAATTGATTTAGGTTGTCTAATTACGTAGTTATTACGTTTTTTCTGTAGTTATCAAAAGTTATCAAAATGAGTGCTTGTGCAGAAAATTGTTAAGTAGATTTATTTCTATGACAGACGATTGCAATTTGAAGAAATGTCCTCTATTGTGAATCTTATAGCAGACAATTTTAGTGTAGTTCAATTATCATATTAGATCAACAAAGCACTGAACAAAGGTCAGAACCATGTTGCCGTGATGTCAAAGTCAATTTTTTGAGCATCTTCAACAAGCCACATCTTAATCCGAAGATTCGTTCAACTTAATAGTTTTGTTATAAATAATTTTATGAAGAAATGAAAGATATACATGTTCTCCTCTTTCCCGAAGCAATATTCCAATAGTAGCAGCATTTGTTATTAATCGATATACAGGAACTTCTACTGAAACTTCTGGAAGATTCGTCCATTTGATTTACATTCGAGTGATTTACTCTCGGCGCCGTCCAAACGTGTTCACACTTGCAGTCTATGTCGGTGCTGGCTTGCTTCTCGCGCGGGCCTCACTGTACCAAAACAAAGCGAGTCGGAACTACCGAATTGGTCCAAGCAGGAAATGCATCGTCATCGAAACGGATAAGTTTACTATTGATTATATTTTTCACAATTCTTAGATAAACATATCGATGCGATTTATTATTGAAGTAGCTTTGCGAATCGTTTAATTGTGATTGGGTACGAAATTATTGAAACAACAAAATATAATTAAATATATATATCAAATATTTAAAAATACATATATATCAAACCTACGCAAAATATATTTTGCGTGGGTTTGACGGGATTTTTTATTGTTAATCTTCTCTGTAATCGGCTCAATCAATAACTAAAACGGCTGTCACGGTTAAACTACTTACTATTTTGGCTCCGAAAAATTGGTAAATATTCTTCAGATGTTCTAAAGTAAAGGTGAACTGCGCTTTTCTTAAAAATATCGCTATTTCGCAGTAAAAGAAATCCAGAAAGTTCACGCTCCGTGACTTGTTCCGTACTTCGAAGGCGGCTCGAATCCGTTCCAACCTTCTACCCAAGCCACGTACTGCGGGCTCTTGAACTTCGCGCCCTCGCATCTCATTGGTCACTGTTTTTCGTTAATAACTCGTAAACAAAGCTGCAGATCGCATTTTTACTAAGGAAAAAGTTGCTCAAATGACCTCAGGAACCCCTCATTTCTCGGAAATACGATAATTTTGGGACACCCTGTATAATGATCATCGCTTTTCTGTTCATTCCTTATTCAACTTGGGACTGTAGCAGTACACTCCGAATTCACGTGACGTCATCGGGAACGCGTTCCAGATATACACGGACCATATGGTTCGTGTATACGATGGAGTATGTATTTAAAAAATGCGCTCTTATAATTACGATTTTGTTCTGTTGTTTATTCCCCTTAGCCAATGACATCGGAACAATTTATCTCGTGCCTACATGCGTCATCAACAATGGTGGGGCAAATTCCGCGGAGATCAATTCTTGCGCCATCTACCTAAGCAGAGCGAAAATTATTAACCAAACGAAAAATTAATTAAAAATATTTATAACAATATCTGATAGTTATTCCTTTCCATAACTGATCTTCTTCTCGAAGCTCTCATTCAATCTCTCATTGTTTATTAAGGTATGTAAAACTTATAAACTGTGAAGCTTATAAAATTAACGTTGTAAATAACCATCTGCAAGAAAAAATTTATAAAACTATTGCTGTATGTGTACCATCGCTAATCATGTAATTAGTAGAAATAATTGCCCAACTGTCCATAAAAATAATTACACTTTATATCATATTTCTGTAGTACATAATTCGTAAATACTATTTCCACCATTTAAATGTTCGCGCCGTATACACTTATTGCCTCCAAATAATACTCAGCACTCGTAGTAGAAATTAAATATACAGAATGTCCGCTTCTTGCTAATGTGCCTATTTTTCTTGTATTATCGGTAACGTTGAGTGACGCTGACAAAACCGAGGTAAAAAAGTCCACAAGCTGCAATGTCTTTACGGATTCAATGCCTGTGTCTACGTCTATAACTTATCGATAATATAGAGCACGACACGAAACGAGTGCTAAAAAATCTGTTAGATGATTATATACACCTGTACCTCGTTTGGGACATACAACATAAAGGATTTTTCAGAATTCTTTGCGATATTACAAATCTGCTTGACAATATGATGGACCAATCGCGAATCCCTTGCCGAGTGTCTTTCGGATGGAACGCGATCTTTTGACAGGTTCTCTTTGTATCGTTTCTCGGTGATTGGACGTCGGAAAATGCAATACGACCTCGGCGACGAATCACGTCGAAGTACCTTTTACGCAGCAGAATGCAAGCGAAGTGGGATTGTATATATTAAACGTCCGAGGAACGTAGCACCAGAAGAGAGATGTGAAAAGTGCTTTTTCTCCGGATAGTGCACACAGTCTGGCCAGTGTACGTAACTGGCCTGTTCCCCTTTCCGTCGCGTCTCGATAAATGCGTAGAGAGTCAGCTGTGGTTACGGATACGTGACGAACGATGTATCGTTGGTGAAGGTTCTTGCGCCACCTTATTTTGACGCGAGAATCAGCGACTGTCATCCGTTCGACCAGGACCAGGACGGATCCCTGTAACTGTAATCGTAGCGAAAACAGCGCGATTTACGATGGGGACAGGACTCTTAATATCCTAGGTCGAAGCTGTCGCGATTCTTCAATCGACGCTGGGATATATTTACGTGTCGAACGGTGCTGCGAGTGGAAAGCTAGATCGGAGCCGACGTTTACCCATCAAAATGGGAAACTGCTTGAAATTCTTACGCGCTGGTGGCAGTCAACAAGACAATACTACGCTGCTGAGCAACAACTCTGATCCTGTGCTGCCTGACGGCTTACCGCAAGAGGACCACGGACATTCAATATCTTATAATGTAATTCCCTTGTTTTCCAAAACTTTGTCGAGTATAGAGAGTGCTTTGTGCGTCCCCGATTTCACTGTTTTCACGATAATGAAAACTGCAGAAAAAATTTGTGCGATTAAAAAATATTTTGCATTCGAATAAGATGTACATATTTTGCAAAAAAGATATAAACCCTTAATTAGTGATTAGTTTGCAAACAAAATTTTAAACAATGATTTGACTTCATTTGTTGTAAGTAAAATTTTTGCGATGCAGTTTGTCTCCTTGTATTCATTACAATGTGCAAATATTGTTAATTAGAGACCATGCTGCAAATGACCATGCTGACCTTGTTAATTAAGGGTTAAACTTTTAATTGTTTCACTGTGTCTTTAGAAGTAAGATTCTAATTTGTTTTTGACATTGCAGTTTGTGAGCTCTTATTATCCACCAACCGGTGGTCTCCTTAATCATCGGCCACCTTATCAATCAGTCACCTTGGACATAGGCTATGGAATTGGAGTCGGAGTTACAGTGGGCCGAAGCGATGAAGTTAGTTCGTTGAGCGAAGAGGAACTACGCGTACGAATTCTAAAACGTCTGGGAATGATGCAGCATTTGCCTCTGCGTGAATACGATGGAGCCAAAAAAGAGGATTGCGTAATATGCATGATGGAGCTAGTGGAAGGACAACAAGTGCGTTACATGCCCTGTATGCACACTTATCATGCAGTTTGTATCGACGATTGGTTGAAACGTTCGCTAACGTGCCCATCGTGTATGGAACCATTAGACGCTGCCTTGATTAGCTCTTACCATCCGACCACTTAACGCCTTAAAAGCGAAAAATTGGAGTAGCTAATCAGTAATCAAATTATTCTATCATGGTAAAGAGTGCAACTGGGAAGAACCGTTAATATTACTATCGCATATAATGGCTTCCAAACTAGTGAAGGGGCCTTCTCTCGTTAATGGCCAATTATATTCGCCATTGTATTCAACGTATCCGAGCACGTGCTGAGTAATAATAATAACTTGTATCATAAAGAGTTGCAAACGTCTTCTGTGTAGGTCATTCCCTCTTACAGGGTAATGTTCTCTCAAGTGGATCATTGCAATAACGAATACGGTGTATTTACAGTCGAAAAGCAATCGCCATAGCCTATTAGTTTTTTTTCTCTGTGGAATCTAAAATAGTTCTTTTGTTTTCCTACTGCTGAAAAGGATGTATTTTTTGCTAGAGCGAGCCGAGTTACCGGAAAAAGGAATGTAAACGATGTGTCTCGCTAAGGCTCTTTTAAGTTTGAACAACAGTAGTACCACTACTTGACCCTTGTTGTTTGGTCAAATAGTGATATAGATATAATTAAATATATAAACACTCATTGTGAATATCGTGACCGATAACAATGTACTACAAGATATCACACTATGTATATTTTTAACTGTAATTCCAATCGTTTCATATTTTCAGATACTAAAAACAAAAAACATATTTTCAGATTATATCTTTCGACGTACAAAGTTAATCTCATTATTTTCAAATACCGCCGCGTTTTTTGTTTCAACGTAGAGAGAGAAAGAGAGAGAGAGAGAGAGAGAGAAAGTGTGCGTATATATGTATGTGTGCGTGTGTGAAAGAGAGAGATATCGTTAAACGCGTAGACGATCATTTCTTCGAGTATTGAGTGCAACGTGATCTAAAGAAACCTGATGAAACCAAAAAAAAATTGGGAAAGGTTGTTATTTTATATTTCGATTTGTAAAAGCGTGTACAACAACGGTTTGCTTGGAATCATACTTTTATGTTACTATGTATCGAATACCACCTGTATATTCTTTTTCATACATGTACACGTATTTGTTATACTGTATTCATGTCACTGAAACGTGTTTTATGTTCAACTATAATGTTGAACGTGATTCGTGCGTAATTGTAGGAAATATAAACCTGCGTATCAGATTACAAGAGCTTCGGATGGAAGCGGCAAAGTCATTGATGATTGGTCAAACGTTTAATTCTTTCATATTGACCGTACGATTAATGATGCTTAATTGCGAATGAGCGACAAACTTTATTTTTATAGAAATTGTACACAAAATTGTGTATCTTTAAACTTTTGTATTGATAGATCCGACCATATTGTACTTTAACGTGACTTCAACCATGTAAACGCGTGAAAGAAAATAGAATTCGGACTTTAGATTGGTCTAGGGTTCGATAAAATTCGGATTTGGACTTAATATTTAAATAAATCATCCATTTAACTTGGAATTCGTGATAATAAGCGACAAGTCAGTGTCTACTAATTTTTATTTAGGAGGGATAAGGGGGTGTGTTGCATTACTGAATCCTTAGAATAAAAAAACCGACCGGTAATGTGTTTCGAGTATGTCAGATATGCGTATGTATATGTTAATTCACGTTTTAACGTTTCCCGCAGAATACGAATATTTTTGTTTTACTGAAGCTTCGCGTGTAATGTGACATAGTGATTTATTGATAAAATGCAAATATACAAATAGCGATTTAATACAAATATAAATATTTAGTAAGAACTACTGCGTTTTTTATAATCTCCTTTACGTAATTGAATATAATTGATAAATCAACTTGTTCACATCGAGCTCAGCATTCCAGACTTGAAGCAATCGAAGTTGTTTTAAATAAACCGCCATAATTTTCAATTAGAAAGTGTAAATTACACCAGCGATGATGGCACCTCTTGCAAGAATCTGTACAGCGCCAGTTAACATAGTGGCGAAACACTCAAACTATTAGCCAAAATTGACTGTCGGTAATTTAGCTATCAGTTTCAGTTATTTCGCCACTATGTTATTTGGCAGTGTACGGACTCTTGAACGAAGCGCTAAGTTTAAAGCTTAATTGTTTAACTGATAGATATAACATGCCAGCTTTTATAGTTGTAATATCCGGGATAAAGTTCTGGCAACCATTCTGAATCGTTTGAACTTAGTAAGAGTAGAAAAGAGACCAATAAGAAAGCGCAAGAGATAGAAAAATAGGTTTTATTTTTCACACAGCTTTACATGAACAATTAATTGCCAACAGGCATTGAGATTATACGATCTAAACGGTCTGAATATCACTTAACACATCTCAGGATCGCGCTCCTCTAAATAATTCTGTTTCACAAAGCAAGTAATCAAGCGCGATCAATTTATACAAAGCGTTATATTAAAAGCAGTGGAGGTAGACGCGAGGGTAAACAGATCCCCGTCGCAGCATTCAAAGTTCGAGTATTATCGAGTTGTACCTCTTTTTTCATTATTTGTATTAATTCTGCGCGACAAAAGGCACGTACAGAAAATCGTCATGAATTATATATATATACATATATACCTTTGTGAAAATACTGATTCATCATTACTTGAAAATATATGTATCTTTTTTGGGACTGGTCTGATATTACAAGCTACGTGTGAAAGGCATTTAGTGTGTGTATATTAGTCGAAGAGAGAGAGAGAGTTGAACCCTGTACATCTGATATGCTTTCGAAAGAGATCGAATATCAATGAATAATAAAAATAAAAATTTCATTCGTGAAACAAAAATGTATGAGTCGATGTAGCAGGAAGAAGAATATCTGATAAATCGATTATTTCTCTTAAACTTCACTTTAAAATGGCTAGTGTTAAATCTAAGTCTGATTATAGATGATTTAATACGAACATTATTAAAGAGTCATTATTGTCATGCGCAGCTGAGTCGAAATACTCAGCGGTATCGTTGATTCGCCCAACATTGTGAACAGTAGTAATCATTCTCTGCTGAACCGAAGAATTGACATTGTCCATTGCGACATTCTTTGACAATAGCCTGAAATAATCCTCAAATTACTCAACTCCGGACTTAGAACGATTCATTCGTTCAACACATACCGCCAAACTATTACTGTTGTTCCATCGTTCTGGCCCCGGTTTTTCGGACGATGCTTGATTTTTGTAAAATGTGGACCTGAAAACAACGCTCATTACAAAACTCCATCATCTTGCCATCAGTTGACAATCACTCCATAGTTTTGCATACCTTGAAAGATAAAGCGTGCGATCCTTGTTCGGATTAGTGGGCAGCAGTTTGCTGACGCTCGCATGACTTCCTCGATCGCTGGCAGCATAAAATTTCGACTTACCCGCACCGTAATTCAATTCGCTGCCGGTATCATCCACTTTATGGTCTTGCAGGTACCTACAACATATTCGATTCATAAGAAAAAATAAATATTTCAACTTGACCTTCGGAAGATGGATGCTTTCATCTAAAATTGTTAACGTCCGAAGGTTGAATACCACATTAGAACGAGGTAAAGTAAAACCTTGCGTGAGCACATTGAAGATAATTCTGAAGCATCTGATCCACGTACTGATGTCGCCTACTTCTGATCCTTATACATAGCAAACCTTCCGTCGGAAGTCCACCCGCCGTTGACGGAAGGCTCTTTGGTCTCTTGGTTATAGGCCATAATTTCTTGCTAACAGATTTTCCGATCGATCCAAACTGTTTCGCAACTCCCAACAATTGTTTTGCTGTTTTTGAGAATGAACCATCGTTGTCGGCTAATCTTTCGATCTCCTCACAGGTAAAATTTTGGTATTCACAGTCTAAATACTCTCGTAATAAGATCTCCATCTGAATAAAAACATTATATATATATATATAAGTGTATTTGTACATAAAGCGCAAATACATTTCCGATCATATCATCAACTACCATATCTTGTTGAAAATGGGATATGTCACGAGATCCTTCGTGCCAGTCCCAATCGGGTCCAGGATCTACTGCGAAGAGGACAGGTAACAATTGCCCGGTGTCAGGATCAACCAAAGGTATGTTGACGCCTTCGCTGCAACGATCTCCGAAATCACTTGATCCGTCAACAATGACTAAAGGAGAGAAGTGGGCAGAATGATACGCTAGGAGCAACGGGGTTCTATGACAACGAGATGGAGGTACTTCTAATGGAAGGTATACACCTCCGAACGGAATTGGAGCTAAAGCTGCACCCTCTGCATCCTTTAACATAGTCTCTGCTATAACTATGATAGGCCTTTTTAAAGCATGAGCCAAAGCTAATACGTGTACCTAGAAAATTGTGTCTGTTAGTCTGCCGTTCAGCCGGAATATACTAAATTAGAAAGGACGAAACGTTACATACTTCCTCTAAGCTTTGATAAGAAGTAGCCGTCTGATTCCTAAAAATAGGAGAAGCCATATCTACGATGGTTTGCCATTCGGTCAACCATTCCGCATCCGTGTAAGATAGTCCCGCGGCCGCGTTCAAGCCCATTTGCCGCCACTTCCATCTTCTAAGTAAAGCGTGCCTGTATTCCCCTTTGGCTAAAGTATTATGCAATGCCTCCCTCAATGTGAGAAGCCTATCATGAAAGCCCCACATGCCCAGAGAGGCTGCATGTAGAAGGCAATTACCATCTCCAGATGTTGCCAATGGCCAAAGTACTCTGTTACTTCCATTTTTACCACCGCACCACCAATTCAAGCGACCGGCAGCTTCCAATGATGTTAGGCATCCACCTTCGATCAAATCTTTCTCCAAAAATTGACGAAAAGAATCTAGAAACATGTTTTTCTTAGATTAAGAACAGAAAACAGATGGAATGCAAATTAGAACAGACATAAAGTACCTGGATATACAGTTAGATCTGGAAGAGAGAACGTAAATTCTGGAGTATCTAATGACCCTATCTGTGAACGAGCATAGGAAACGATAGCTGCATTTTCGGTCGCTCTTGATATGCCTCTGGCCAGTTTCTTTGTAGCACCGCTTCCATTTTCCAAAGCATTATTTGCAGTTGACTCTTTCTCCAAGCCGTCGTATGGAGATAGTCCTAGGTTCATCACCCTGCTTTAATATACCTGTAAATCAACATTTGAATTATCACTCGTGCAATGCAATTAACACATTTGCCAAATGCAGAAAAGATTCATTTATTTATAATCAGCAAGAGAACAAAAAAACAATAGCAATCATGGGTAATTACGTACTATACCATGCATTAAATTGTTAACATCAACAAATAGAAGATGATCAATGCAAGCAGCACAGCATTTCGATTCTCGAGATTACGAAATATCGAAAGCGACTAAATTCAGCAGTGGATGCGCGATCGCTGTACACACGGGAGAGTGTATGTATACGAAAATATGTATGTACGCATCATATAACGCGATCATACGTATATGATACGTATACTGGTCGGACGCAAATTATTGAAAAAATCCAAACCTTGGTCCGTATGTCGAATTACAGCAACGGAACACGGTGACGGAACGTCGTTAAATGGTATTCTAATTGGCTTTCAATGCGCGAACTGCTCGTACGTTTTCTCATATTTCGAAGCCTTTCCGTGGAAGGCTGTCCGCGACGTATCGGCTGCGACTGAGAATGTATTTGCACGAGCTACGATCTAAACACAACATAACCTAGAGCAACGGCAGCCTCTAGGAACTGTGGCGGCCGAGTAGGAGGGTGTAGAAGCGAATTATTATTGTTGCACACGGAATCACCGTGAAACTTTAAACCGGTCACATGTCAACTCGACATACGAGGGGTACCGCTGTTCTTATTTACGCAGTATCGTGCCCTTCCATTGGCAGACAGGCTCGCTCGCTCGATCGTCGCGGCACGATCGGTTTCGAAACTCAAGAAAACATTACAAGATCACAGCGAACCGTTCTTGTCATAACGCACCCCACTACACAATGTTTGCTAGAAATGCGATGTTTGACCTTGAAACCGTGAAATAGGCGTGTACACATCTATCCACCTACACCTACACCGATAGGTATATAACTATCGCACATATACAGGGTGATCGAGATTTAACGATAACTTGCTTTCTATTTATTGCCACTCGAAAGCTACTTGCTTACTTAAAATAGATCAAATCAAACGAAGCGTTTAATATTCTTACATGTTTCAGATAAGATTTATAGCTATTTTAAATAAAATATCGAGGTGTCTAAATACTTTTGGTTAGTAGCGGTGATTCCTGTCACCTGTCATATTCGTCATAAGATACCATGCAAATTCCGACTGCGACAAAACTCATCCGTTCCGTAACATCTGGTCTTTGTACAGCGCCAGGACAGTGACAAAATGCTGTTAACAAAAAACAGAAGCTGGTAAACAAAATTATCAACGGTTAAGTTTGGCTAACAGCTTGAGCGTTTTGCCACTACGTTAATTGGCGCTGTACAGACCTCTGAATGGAGCTTATCGAATTCGCCGCAAGAGGCGTCACTATCGTTTGCCTACGTAAATGATTCCTTCCAGTATTAGTATTATGTTATACGCGAAGAACGGCAATAATTATTGACGCTTGAATAAGAAATAATATTTGAATATGGGGTGCTATGTCATATCTTATGTGTCTAGTCTATGAACGTTTCTTCAAATTCATGTGTACACCGTATACCCGAGTGTGTGCGTGCGTGTTCTGACTCGTGCCTTACCGTTTGAACCTCAAAGACCGTTCGTTTTTTATCAGAAAAATTTCAAACGGTTCGCGAGCGAACAAATTTTTGGATACTATCATCGGGGTATCGCATAGAGAAGCGGCGATGACTCTTCGCAAAGTTTGTTTGGCACTTGTCCTGTCGGTCAGTCTGTTGATGCGATTGGGCCACGTAGCCGGCTCCGAGGTGTTGCAAATTCGTGGCATACCCACGTCGAGGAATTCGCTGTTTTCACCGGATAGGGATTACCAGTGTTTCGACGGAAGCCTGTTGATACCATTCGCGTGGGTAAACGATGATTATTGCGATTGTGCGGACGGGAGCGACGAGCCGGGCACGTCTGCCTGTAGCAACGGCATATTCTACTGCGAGAACACCGGGCATAAGTCCCTTTATATACCCTCCACCTGGGTGAATGACGGTGTCTGCGACTGCTGTGACACCTCCGACGAATATAATTCAGGTAAGGAGTGCGTGAATAATTGCAATGAGCTTGGCAGAGAAGCTAGATTGGAGCAGCAGAAGGCTGAGGAATTGATGAAAGAAGGCAGCAAGGTAAGAACAGAGATGGTCTCCACGGGTAAACAGCTCAAGACCTACTACCAGGCCAACCTAGTAAAGCTTAGAGCAGATTACGAAGAGGCTGTTCTTGTTAAGAAGGAGAAGGAGGTAATGAAGACCCAAGCAGAGGACCGAGAAACAATAGCATTAGAGAAATATCGGGTGGCTGAACCTGAACAGCCTTCGGTAGAGGAAGGGGAAGAGGAGAAAGAACTGCAAGACTCAGAAATTGAAGATTACTTCAAATTATTGGATTCCGATGAAAGCGGTACCATCAGTGTCATGGAAATGAGAACCAGAATAACGTTCGACAGAGACAGGGATGGAGCTGTGAGCGAGGAGGAGGCACTCTTTTTCTTAAATAACCAGCAGGAAATAAATCTCCAGGAGTTCATGGACTCTGCTTGGTCTCTCATCAAACCCTTCCTAATGTTGGAACAAGGTTAACCATTGGCAACAAATATTTTATTTTCATTCAGATTCACATGTTATTATAATTTAATTGTTCTTTCAGGTATGTTTAAACCAGGTGATCAAGCAACAGAAGAAGAGGAGGGTCACGATAGCACAGAAGAACCATTGGAACACGATAAAGAAGAGGACGAGGAAGGCGAGTGTGACGGTGGGACAGCTGATGCTCAAGAAAAGCCCGAGTCTTCGATTCAATACGATGAGGAAACTCAAGCTCTCATCGACGAAGCTACGACCGCCCGGGAAGCCTACCACTCGGCAGAGAAGTCTGTAAACGACTTGCAGTCAGAGATCAGGAAGCTCGAGGAGAAACTGGACCGCGATTACGGCACTGAAGAGGAATTCGCGCCTTTAGACGGGGAATGTTTTGAGTACACGGACTTGGAGTACGTTTACACCTTGTGCATGTTTGGCAGAGCAACGCAGAGGTCGAAGTCCGGCGGCAGCGATATCATTTTAGGCCACTGGTACGAATGGGCCGGACCCGACGGCCATAAGTACTCCAGAATGAAGTACGACAGGGGCCTAACTTGTTGGAACGGCCCAGCCCGCTCTACCATGGTGACGCTCATCTGTGGCAAAGAGAACAAGCTGATGTCAGTGACAGAACCTATGCGTTGCGAGTACGCCATGGAGTTCTCCACGCCTGCTCTGTGTAATCCCAACTTGGAGGTCGCCGACACTCACGACGAGTTGTAAATCCCGTGTCGCGACAAACCTGTGCTAGCAAATACGAGATACAGACGAGACACTGTGCGACTTCGAAGCGACATAAATAAAGCGTAACCGATGCAAGGATAGGTAACGGCTGCGACAGCCGATGATCCGTTATCAGGCCTGTTCGCGTGAAAGCATCTTAACGCTTGCAATCAGTTTTAACAAATAAAAAAAACGGTTCTCCGGCGATCTTCGCAGTCTTATCAGTATGTCAGGATTTGTACTTGCAAGCGTTTATATACTTTCATGCTAGTTGCCAACGAACAATTGAGTTGTTAAATTGCTGTGCGAACATCGCAGAACAAAAACACACGAATGATAGTTTAACGGGTACCCACGGTCGTAATTTGCACAACGTTTTTTACCGTCAACGATAAGCACAGCTGATAAGAGCTGCTGAGAGCCTAGTCATACCTTGCGTGTTACGTAACAGCAGAGTTCCAATCGTATACGCGCAAATGGTTATTCGTATTTGCCCTCTGGAAACCCCTGATCGTGTTGCTTGGATAAACCAGCGTAATCCGCTGGTGACAACGCGTTTTACATTTTGCGGTCCGCTGTGTGCCCATTTTTTTCATTAAAACGACCAACACTGCGAACTAAGAATTGATAACAATTGAAAACAACAATCGCTTCTTTGTTAAGATTTGAAACAATCGAGACATTGGAATCGGTCGCTCCACGACGAAAAACATTTACGAAACAGAAAACCACGTTGCTCAATTAATGATAATTTCTTCTAGCATTTGTTTACCCGAGTATTTATGAAATGATAAGTATACATAAGAACTTAGCGTGCAGAGGTAATTTCAGTTTTTTTTTTTGGTTTCTGCACGGTATCATTTAACAGATACCGAAATGGCGGACCGAAAAGTGTTAAGCAATGCCAGAACCTGTATCTCAACCGTTGAAGTTTGTTAGAATCGATTTACTATTTCCGTGATACGCGAGAAATCGTTGTTAACCGCCGATCCATAGTGTGTGTCGTCGTTGCATACATTCCTGCTCTTTTTCTACGAGAAATTTTTGTACCGATTGTTCGCGGATCAAGCATTGTTTTCCGTGAAACTCTCCTAACCGGTCACTGTCGTGTATGTGTATGTAAACACGTATGTTCACGTGCGTGTACCGTAGAAATATCGTATTAAAAAAAAAAAAAACAAAAAAACGAAACGAGAATGCGGAAAGTAATAAAAAGAAGAAAGGAAGAAACACGAAAGCACCTGTATTCGAATCATCATCAGTGAACACGAAGGTATTTTGTAATTTTTTAAAAGCGTGTCGCGGTGTGCGCGCCGGAATATGCGGGTTCAATAAAAAAGGAAAGGAAATTCTGTAATTCACGATGGCAGCTTTATTTACATTAATAACGTGGCGATCTGCTCTTTCTGTGTGTTACGTGTAATATATATATTTATATATATATTCCTCCTCAATTATGCGAGTTCTTGTAACGTTATAGCGACAATCATCAAATTCGTTTATCTTTCTCTCACTTTCTCACTCGCACGCTCTTTTTCTCTATTTATATCTCGTTAATCTAAAACGATCTACAACGGTATCTTTTGGATTCCGACACGTTTACAATCAACTATATAGACGACTAACAAAAAACATAAAGAAAAGAAAGGGGATTAGGGCTGGAGCTGATGAATAGACTGCGGTTCTCTATGCAAATCGACATGTTTCTTAATTTGGATAACTTGAGGAGAGTACAACAGCCTTCGCTGTTTTATATTTCGCGCACTTATTTTCCGTGATAAACGCAAAAAATCCGCAGTTTAACGCGATGAACGTTTCCGCGCGATCTATCCAAACGAGTTCTACGCTCATCCGATTCCTCGGTACTTCGTTAAGGCACTTCAAAGACTGGAGGAGACACGCTCCGAATAGTCTTTTTCTCACCCGACGACAATCTCATTTTCTCTCTTTTTTCCTCCGTATCAACAAAAATCGATGTCGAGATTGTGCTCTTTCCACACGAGACATCCTAAGAATCACGTGCAGATCTTCTACCCTTCGAATAGCAGATCGATCCACCCGTGAAGCAAAAAAAAAATTATCTTAAACGTAGACTACGGATTTTATGCATTTATGACAGAAATACCGTTATCATTATTTTCAATTCATTGAAATCATTAAGAAAGTAAATATACGTATGAATACGCAGCATTTTATCTTGCAATTAATACGATTTTTAAAAGACAATTCTTATTTTGCATAAAAATCCGCAATTTACTTATTTATCTTAGAAACGATTCTTACGTTTTACGATCTCGTAATTGTTTGAAACTTTCCGCAATAAAAAAGAGTAAGGTCAATTACCCGTTTCATTGTTGCGCAGAATTGATTCACGCCCCGGGGTAAATGAATTTGAATTTTTCCGAGGATCGGACGAGGATTAAGAAACATTTTTCTCTTGTCCTTCGTGATACTTTAGTAGACTCTGTAAACCGATTTCCTTCTGTGCAATCCATAGTTTCCCAACGCGACGGCAATTTTAAGATCGGAGACGATTCTTCCGCGATTGATTTCTAGCGATGAGTCCGACTGGGAAGCTATAGGGTGAACGAACAAGAAACGGTTTATGATCATCGCTCGCAGAGTTTCTCTGTCGATTTCGCGCGTCGAAAGTTCCTACATAGAAAGTACCGAATGGAAAGGCAACATTTTCCAAAGATTACTCGAACGTCTCAACATACCCTGTGTTCATTTCGATCAGACACCATCATTCCTCTCGCTCGTGATAATGATAGGGGGCTTGGGCTTGTTTCTTTTTTTGTTTAATGATTCACTTGATATTATTTACAGAACGGAACGATACACGACATTTATCTGTGCCTCTAAACTACTGTACAACAAGATCCACGAAACGCTAGGCTTTCTACAAGCCATTCCGCGTCGAATCGCAGAGAATTTGCCAACGGCAACTTTTGAATTTTCCCTGCGATTCGACGCGGAACGGTTCCTACACGAGAAGATCGCGGATTCGATAAGCGCGATCTAATACTGGATCCGGAGAAGATCCGGTAACATCGCCGAACTACGCGACTCTCGTTTCACAACGGAAAATCATTGGATAACTTCTCGTAGATGACCGCGTTGCCGTGCGCGTAATCGGATCGTTCGATTTCGAAATTGCTTCGAATGCGATCGACGAACATCAACTTTCTACCGCGTGAGGAAAACGGAAATGATGGAACGTAAGCTCTGCAAACGCATTATTCGCTCGGAGAACGTGAAAACTAAGCATTCGTGCTAGATCGAATGTTTCAAATTATTATTACCGATCTATAATTAGCTTAAATCAACGATCTTCCTCTCGACTACGAAAAAATCTTGGTTCAGGGTTTTTCTTATAACCAATTTCGTGTTTCGCATGGAATTCGTTGTGAAGTTGAACATAAGTTCCTCGCAGTTGAACAATGGGGAACTATAGACAACATTAAACATTACCTGTATATTTTATAATATCTCTCGGATATTCGTATTTGACAGAACCGCATAAAAATTAGCGCAGTCTCGACATAATTAAATCCTTGCGAATGGAAACTGAACTTTTTCGCGTTACAATTCAATGAGTCAGGTAAGTATAGTCGAAATTCTATCGTGACCGGTCTCCCGAAGGAACAACCGAAAATAGAAAAGTGTTTCGTTGCCATTGACACCCGTTTTGAGACGTATTTTCGCGCACCCGGACTGCACGGCAATAATAGATTCTAACGTTTTCGTTTTAACACGCAACATCTCGGCTTGTTCCCGGCCTTTGAGCGAAATCCCTCGGGACACCTCAGCAGGAAAGAAGACTGATCGTCTCTCGAATCGATCCGTTAGGAAGCTATTTCCTTGTCGACGACGACGACGACGACGACGACTGAGTCATCAAGGATTGACTTGAACGAACGCGGCGCATCGCGCCGGCTCATTTGCCCAGCTTCTCGAACATGATCAGCTTCTCTTTGAAGCTCTTAGTGTCGGTGGACACCTCCGATATGTTTCCGTTCAGCATGTTCTGCAGATCCTCGTCGTTCTTACTGACCAACAGGTTGTCGAAGATCATCTTGTTGTCCTCCTGTTGTTTGGCGACCGGCGAGGTCGGTTGCGAGCCGGTGATCGGCTTCTTCTTCGGGTAGATCACCGAGCTGCGCTGGTTGTTCCCGTTGTCCGCCATTCTGGTCACTATCGTGATCGCCAGCAGCTGATGGATGTCGATGTTCTCCTTCGACTCCGACGACTGCCGCCAGTAGAACTTGTCCGGCGAGATCAGCGACCTCGAGTCCTCCGCTCCGTTCGCCACCGAGATCTCTTCCGGGTCCACGATGTTCTTGTTGCTCCACGAATCCTGTATTCAAGCGAAACTTATTTAATTTATTGGTTCTTGCAGAGAAAAAAATGACGATAGGAGAGCAATCGAACTTTATTTGTGATTCGCAGACAATTAATACTATATCGGTATTAACATTTTCAAGGTTCAAATTCGTCTACTCTCCCTTAAATGGTAAAACGCTCAGGACGCACATGAGGACGGTATCGATAAATAGATGTTGATTTGTAAATGATATTGTACATAAGGTGGACGATATCGACTGGTAATCGTATTCGATAGAGGCACAGCATTTCGATCGCCACCGTCTCAAAGATACTTACGCTTTTTTCGCGCTTCTCTGTGACCGCATCGGCGGACTCCTCCTGTTTCCTGTCCTGGTCCAGGTCCCTCTCGAGGCTGTCGAGGGTTTCCGTGCTCTCGGAGGACTTGTTTCTCCTCTCGGAGTCCAGAGTATCCGTGCTACCCAGTTCCGAGCTCTCGGAGGACTTCTGAAGCCTGGACGGCTTCCTGACCGGCACCGGTCTCTTCTCCTCCTCCTGTTCGTCCTGAGGCACGATGTCCACGTAGCTGGTGCTCGGTATTCTCTTCGGCGTCCTCCTGATCCTCCTGTTCTCCAGTCTGTCCTCCGTCTCCAGATTGTCGGAGCTCTCGGAGGACATCCTCTTCGAGGACCTCCTGGAGACCTTGCCGAAGCCGTTGTCCCGGACGTTGTTCTCCTCCTCCTCCTCCTCGTCTTTGGTCTCGCTGACCTCGAGCATCTCGAAGCTCTCCGACGACTTCGAGATGCTCTTCGACAACCGCCTGCCTCTCGCCAGGTTCATATCCGACATGCTGCTCCTTTTCTGCAGCTCTTGGACAGGGTTCGACTCGGTTTGCAGCGTCTGCTCCAGGATGTCGAAGTTCTCCGACGACTTTGATATGTTCTTCGAAGATCGCCGCGCCCGAAACTCGAAGCTGCTCCTCCTGCGCTCGATCGATTCGTCGCTGGCCAGGGTCTCGATGGCTTCCAGACTGTCGGAGGACTTGGAGACCCGATCGGTGGACTTCGAGATCGGGTTCAGCAGCCTACGGACCACCGGCTTCGACTCTTCGTACTCCATCAGCATGTCGAAGCCTTCGCTGGACTTGGAGAACCAGCTGGAAGCCGCCTCCAGGCTGTCCGGTGACTTGGACAGCCGGTTCGACGATCTTCTGCGCGGCAGCTTGGCCTCCAGCTCCTCGAAGATCTCCGCGCCCTTCTGCATCCGAGTCGACGGCTTCCTGACGACCGGCCTTGCTTCCGGCCTCGGTTCCGGTCTTGGTTCCGGCCTCGGTTCCGGTCTCGGTTCCGGCCTCGGTTCCGGCCTCGCTTCGGGTTGCTCCTCGTTCGTGTCCACGCTGGTCCCCGACGCGCTGACCGCGTCCAAGCTGTCCGGAGACAGCGAGGCCAGGCTCGGCGGCTTCCTCGGCAGCTTCGACTCCAGCTCCTCGAAGATGTCCGAGTTCCTCGACAGCCGGCTCGAGGACTTCCTCGCCACCGACACCGTCTTCGGTTCCGTGGTCGTCGGCGACGACGCGCTGCTGCTGCTCGTGTTCGCCAGCTGCGGATCCAGGCTGTCCAACGAGTCCTCCGTGATCGTCGTAATCGTCGACGTCGGCGTCGACGACGTGTTGTTCGCCGTCTGCGGCGCCGTGCGTCGCGGTGGCCTTCGGTTCTTCGGCCGAACCGAAATCCGATGGTGGGCAGCCGTGTGGTTCAAGCTCGCGCTCTCTAGCTCTGCTGCTCGACAAACGAAGAGATCAGGTCAGTGTGTCGGCCCGGCACGCGATTTAACCAGTTATTTAATTAGCCGGTTTCGTTCGAGCAAGCTCGACGTACAATCGAAATAAATATTGTCGAGCTTTTAGAGGTACACGCCGCGTTCCGAATAAAGAATATGTATCCCGCGGACAAAGGAACAATGGCGCGGCTATCTTATCTATCGATTCAGGGGTTTATCGGAATTTCACGTTACGCGATCTTTACGCGAACGCAGTCAATTCTCCCGCATTGTCCACTCGGCTTGTAAACGAAAGTGGACAATTTCGGGAGAGGCGAGACGATTGTTAGAGCCTTGCGCCTCGCTTTTATGGTCGCCGATTGGCAACGATTATGAAAACGAACTTAGCACGAGATTTACGGAGTACAAAAAATGTATATTAGTTTACATTATATTAGTTTATATATTAGTATATATTAGTTTATAAAAGTAACAGTGAGACATTTATTCTGATTTTTAACAAGTGTTATTGTAACGTTTGCCCTAAGTAACATATAAGTTGAATGAATAACTCATAAATGTATCTTTACGATATGAATAATCGTGAATCAAATAATTAGTGACCCGTCATTTTGACGGGTTCCGTAAATCTAGTGTCAAGGCTCGAATAATCGTATCCGCGATTTTCCCAAATATTGTCCATTTTTGCAATTTCGGAAGAGACGAGACGATTGTTAGAGCCTTGCGGCTCGCTTTTATGGTTGCCGATTGGCAACGATTATGAAAACGAACTTAGCACTAGATTTACGGAGCACAAAAAACAGCTGTTTTATATTAGTTTATGAAAGTAACAGTGAGACATTGATTCTGATTTTTAACAGGTGTTATCGTAACGTTTGCCCTAAGTAACATATAAATTGAATGAATAACTCATAAATGCATCTTTACGATATGAATAATGGTGAATCAAATAATTAGTGACCCGTCATTTTGACGGGTTCCGTAAATCTAGTGTCAAGGCTCGAATAATCGTATCCGCGATTTTCCCAAATATTGTCCATTTTTGCTTAAAAGCCAAAGGACAATGCGAGAGAAATTACTGCACGTGTTTCTAGAATTTGTAACGACTTCCCTAAAACCTTTTCATATCCTGGTGATACTTACGTAAGTCTTCTTTGGCCCCGGGTATCACTCGATCGACCGAGTCCCTCGGCGATTTCGGGTTCTGCGAAAAGAAATCGATATTACGATCGATTCGGATCACTGGATCGTGAACCAGTGGGTCGACATTTGGTTGGCCAACGACTCGGAAAACGATACCGCGAGAACAGCCTATATTTGGTTATTACGAGATCGCTAGAAGACTGGTTTCGAAAGTCCGCCATTTAGGGGGAGCAGTCGAAAAATCGCGTTTACCTTTTCACCATTAATCTCGATAGTCTCGTTGATTCGTCATCGGTATCGCGGTACCGACGCTGTACAAAATTTGGAAAACGTCCCTAACTGTACAGCAGAACTTCGATTATTGTCCAAACTGATAAGGAATACGCATGTTGACCGCTAACTTTTTATATTTGAAAGAAATTTCTTTAGACACCAGAAAATAACAAAAATTTTGTTGGCCATGGATATAATTAATTATATTATATTATATAATACAATATAATACAATATAATTATATAATATAATATAATATAATTAATTATATCCATGGCCAACAAAATTTTTGNTCGAGTTATAGCCCGTCCATCCGATCCTCTCTCTCTCTCTCTATCTCTCCCCGCGTAGCGGAAGAGAGGAAGGACACCGGACGACTGCGAAAGGAGAGACAATGGAACGTGACGTTACGTGGAACCGGGACACGTCCGACGGAACGAGCAATATTGGAACAACGGGCGCGCGAACGGTGCCGCCCCTGTCGACGACACATTATAAAATGTGGCGCGTTAACGTTACAATATTTACGGCGTATCGATCAACGGATTTCACCGGCGCCCCGCGTACAATCGTTCCTACGGATTAATCGCGCGCCCTGTAAATTATCAATCGTCCGTCTTGAATATTTATAACGCTGCCTCCGGGCCGGGCCTCGCAAGAGTTTTAATATTAATCGAGCAAATCGGTGCGCGCGTAATTCCATGCCCCCACGATCGACGCCCAGCGTTTCATGTTTCACGGCCGAAATTCAATTTCTTACGTTTCATTTTTTATAGTTGAAAAGAACTGACAACGCTTTAGAGCTTCCGAATAGAAAATGTTGTTCGTTCTGGACGATTCTCTGTGCTAACAGGATTCTAAATGCAAAATCGTAAAATTCGAAGGAAATATTAACCCTTTGCACTCGAGCGGTGAGACTCTGGGGCACCGTTAAAATTATTACATCGCGTTCCATATAGTTGAAAAGAACTAACAACGCTTTAGAGCTTCCGAGTAGAAAATGTTGTTCGTTCTGGATGATTCTCTGTGCTAAAGGGGTTCTAAATGCAAAATCGTAAAATTCAAAGAAAATATTAACCCTTTGTACTCGAGCGGTGACTCTGGGGCACCATTAAAATTATTACATCACGTTCCAAGGTAACTTTTATATTATAAAAGTCTAGACGTAAAGACATTGTTAAAAGTCTAATTGTTGTACGAGTCGCAAGACTATAAATCGTGAGCATAAAATGCACTTTGTCGTATAAAATGGAAATACCGTATAAGTCAGAAAAATTAATTTAGATTTACAGTTAAATTGGCTTCGAGTGCAAAGGGTTAAACGTATGGCACACCAATTATTGGTGCATTTGAATCTAGTTTTTAATCATTTTGTGATCCATATAAAGAGTTTCTAAACGTGACATCTTTTTTAAAATGAAAGCTTGAAAAGAGGATATCAAAATTAGGGGCAACCCTCTTGCAACCGTAATCAGATTACTGATTTTTTTCAAGATCTTAGAGTGGCAAATGAATTTTGCGATGGGATTTAAAATCAACGTGTCAAAATATACAAGAAATGATGCAGAATTTAAGGTTAACATAAGTTTTTAAGGTTAAAAAATATTTACATTGCATTCTCTCTCCTTTTCCATTATTCTGCAACATATCAGCTTTAATTTAAAGAAAGAATATCATTGCCTTATCTCATTTCTATCAAGAGTTATTTGATTTTGACAGAACTTCGTCACTTCACCCCCATTGTGCGTGCGATATACAGTAATGTCTCTCTAACTGACGCACAGATTGTGCAGAAAAATGGACAATTTCGGAGGAGAAGATACGATTGTTCGAGCCTCGTGGCTCGTTTTTATAATTGTTGACAATTCGTAACTATAAAAACGAACCGCAAGGATCGAATAATCTTATCATTTGCACTCGAGCGACGACTCTGAGGCGCCACTAAAAATTGCTATACTATTTCTCAAAATAACCGTAACAGTATCAGACTCGTTTATATCTAAAAGACTGTTAAAATTGAAAGTTTTGTACTCGCCAATAAGCTTCCATATGCATAAATCGCGATAAATCATAGAATCATATAAAACAGAAACATCGTAGATCAGAAAATATGTTTAAAATATAACTAAAATAGCTTCGAGTGCAAAGGGTTAATAGCTTTCTAAAAATTTAATTTTATAAATTTTGTTACATATTTGACAGAAAACCCATCGAAATTCTAAACATCCTCGTTATATACTTGTTTTCAAAATCTTGTTAGTTTTCGAATTGTAGAAATATTTTGGTTTTCTCTCGCTAAGCGTGTAAGCGAAGCATCTAATTCCAGCTTTTCCCGTAGAAGTTTCGATTCGCGACAGCCGTATCAACAATTACGCGGGTGCCTGGACGCGATGCAACAACCCCAATTATCTTGCTTCTCCTCAACCGATCTATTATTAGAACCTGTGCGAACGAAACGAAACGAAACGAAACGAAGCCTTTAAAACACATAAAACCCAATTAGCCGAATCATTTTGCTGACGAGTTTCGACAGAATGCAGCCCAACCGCGGCCTACATCCATCCGTGACGCATTCTATCATGCTCGTTCCATTTGCGTGTCCGCTCGTAACTCTTCCGCCATCGGTAAACGTCGGCCGCGGTTCACTTGCGTCCACGATTCCGTGGGTATTCGCGCGCGAGCACGTCGGACACACGGCGGACAGTCAATCGGCTTCGGGGAGGACGATTCGATTGACCGGTCGCGATCGATTACCTCGATCGTCTCCTCGATCCGCGGACTCGCCTCCTTGATCACCGGCGGGATCCTCTGTCTCGCTTCCGGCTTCAAGCGTGGCCGATCCTCGATCCTGCACGAAGGCCTAACGGACACCGTCGAGACGACGTCCTCCGGTTTATCCTAACGTTCAGATGGACACAACGAGTCGTGAGGGTTGCGAGTCCACGTTACGATTCATCGCGGCGTGTCGCGTTCGACCGCAATGGTTCGACGATAATGCCGCATGCGAGCGTTTTCGAAATCGTTATACGTTTTTATGTACTCGGTCTGCTAGTACTTCTAGTACTCGGTCTATGAAAACGTTTGCAAAATATCGACGGGGACATCATCTTTTTAGGGTCAAAAAAGACAAAAATGTCTCGCAATCCGGCTATGGCGGATTCCTCGGATCATTTGAAGCAACTTCTTCCTTTACAAAAATGTTCTCCGAGGCACTGTTAACGAGTTATTAACGAAAAACAGTGACCAATGAGAGGCGAGCTCGACCGGCGCGAGACGGCCTAGCCAACGAGCACGCGAAGCCCAGTCCCGCCCACCGGTTCGGCCGCCTAGCGCCAGACGAGCTCGCCTCTCATTGATCACTGTTTTTCGCTAATAACTCGTTAACGGTGCCTCGGAGAAAATTTTTGTAAAGGAAGAAGTTGCTTCAAATGACTCGAGGAACCCGCCACTTTCGGATTGCGAGACATTTTTGGGATACCTTGTATATCTTTTTCGTTTCTTTTGGGTTTAATGTCGCATCGACTGCAAGGTCATTAGCGACAGGTTCTGTGTTTTTAAGTTGTTCCTGTGAAATTTTGTTGCAGTTTTAGTATCGTATCAGCATTTTTTAGTATCGTTAAAGATAACACAGATATCGTTTTCTAACAGCTTTAATGAATCACCTTTATACAGTAATGTCTCCCTAACTGACGCACAGATTGCGCACAAAAATGGACAATTTAGGAAGAGGAGATACGATTATTCTGCAGCTCGTTCTTATAATTGTTGACAGTTCGTGACTATAAAAAAGAACCGCAAGACTCGAATACTCGTATCTCCTCTTCCAAAATTGTCCATTTTTGTGAACAATCTGAGCGTCGATTAGAGAGACATTATTATAGATCGCTTCGGATTAATACTGATTATTATTAATACTGATGACTGTTCATACTGAAACGCGTTCGAGTAATGACGAAATCGTACATCAAAGATTCGAATAGTCGATGTTGCAACGTTGGACAGCCTTCTGCCGGGCACTGTACGTCGAACCTGCGGCACGACAAATTTTACGATACGCGCGATAAATCGCAACGTGCACGCGGGATTTATTTAAACTGGTCTTGATTCGATCCGAGGATCTAGACGGGATCGCGTCCCTGTTAGCTCGCGACGGATCCGATCGATTACCTCGATCGCATCTGAGTCGTTGTTCGCCGGCTGCTGGTGCTCCTTTCTTGCCTGGGGCACGATGATTCGCCTGCACTCTGCCCGAGGCCGAGGCCGAGGCCGATCCTCCATTTTGCACGGCGGCCTCATCGATCCCAGCCCCCTGCTGCTCTCCACGACCTTGTCCTTCCGGTCGGATTCAACGTGATCATTTATTGCGCAATCGTCGCAGCCGATTTCCGTGAAATCCGTGAGCATTTCGTTACGAGCTTCGCCGAGTTACGCGGCCGATTGCGTCAGGAACGGGGATTTAGTGACGCGGGTTCAGCCACGTCGGATCACGGATCCAGCGAAACTCTAGATCCCCGGGCTCAAGGACTTCCCCCCTCGACGAAACGTACTCGGGACGTATCGATCTCGATGAAATTTACGAAAGGGATAGGTCTGCGAACGACATTTGACGCGGACTTTCTTTTCTCCTGTCGCAAAAAGTACTCGTTCCGGACAACAGTCCTCGGAGTTTCCAAGTCGACTCACTTGCACCGCGATTTCTTTTACAGCTGCGTCGAATAATACGGTAGAACTTCGATTATCCGAATTCAACATTGACGGTTAATCTCTTTTTATTTACGATGCGGTAG